GCGCGATTTAACCGAGCGGGGAATGCTGCAAGCACGGTAGATAAAAGACCATGTCCTATACAGAAGAGGGGTAGCAGATAGCGAAAGCCAATCGAATGACGTTTTTACGCCCCCTAAACGGGCTTCATCATCGTTTGGAAGAAGATAGATCCTTTTCCCGGAATCCGACGCTGGCCCGGCTAGCCCTAATTTACTGCATTCCGCGCCGAGCCGCTCGAGAGCCATGACTCTTGACAAATACTCTCATTTTTGGGCCTCTTGAAAGCAACAAAGACTCATCGTGGAGCTGCATTCAGATTGAAATTGATCACAACATTATGAAAGAAAGAGCGCGCCGATCGCGAGAGTAAAGACGCCGGAGAGGTCATGGTGACCTGCCATTTCGGGTTAGGCGAGACGGTCTACCCCGCCTGCGTAGTGCCTCTGGCTGATATTAGTGGCTTATTGACAGGAACCGGGGTTGCATTCGAGGCGTAGAAGAAGCATTGGCCTAGCCGGATACTAAGTGGCTCGGTGGGCTGACGGCAGCACATGCCGGACCTGAAGTACTCCAAAAAGGTACGGACAGATAACTGGATTTGTCTGTTTATCTTCTACTAGTAACATGATTCTGCGTGCCTTTTAAATAGGCCCCATCGTTCCACTTACTACCTGGAACGATCTGTGCACAGGGGAGCTCTTTTCCATTTTTCTCAATTCTGGGTTCTTCGGACCCCTTCCTCCTACAGGATGCTGTTTAAATCAGTCCTGACATCGGCCGTACTGGCTCTTTCTGTGGGCGTAGACACTGTTGCTGCATCTGAGCATGGGCGCTTTGGACAGCTTGCTCGTGATCCTTTGGAGAGAGCTAAGCGCGCCGTCGATAATGGTCATGCTAAGCCAATTCGCTCCACAAAGGACTACCGGTTTTTGAACAAGAACACCAAAAAGAACCTTGTCAGTCATCTGCCGGACGTTCCTTTCGATATTGGCGAAATGTACTCGGGCTTGATGCCCATTGACTCGCACAATGAGTCGCGAGCGCTGTTCTATATTTTTCAGCCCACCATCGGCGACCCCGTTGACGAAGTCACTATCTGGTTGAATGGCGGACCTGGCTGCAGTTCACTGGAAGGCTTTTTCCAGGAAAATGGCCGCTTCCTTTGGCAGGCAGGTACTTATGCACCCGTGGAGAACCCGTACTCCTGGGTAAACCTGACTAACGTCCTTTGGTATGTACTGAGCGAAATGATGAAATTTGGGAAGCTTCAAAGAGATGTTTGTACTGACTTTGACTTGCCTTTCAGGGTCGACCAGCCAGTCGGAACCGGATACTCTATTGGCACACCTACTGCCACCAGCCAGGAGGAGATCGCACAAGATTTCGTCAAGTTCTTCAAGAACTTCGAGAAGACCTATGGCATCAAGAATTTCAAGATCTATGTGACGGGTGAGAGCTATGCTGGCCGATACGTCCCATACATCTCGGCTGCTATGCTCGATGAAAAGGACAAGGAGTACTTTGACTTACACGGTGCATTGGCCTATGATCCTTGCATTGGTCAATTCGACTACGTCCAGCAGGAGGCCCCCGTTGTGCCTTTCGTCAAGGAGAATGCCAACCTATTCAACTTCAACGAGACCTTCATGGCTGAACTAGAGCACCTCCACAAGTCTTGTGGCTATGCTGATTTCATCGACGAGTACCTGACCTTCCCACCTCCAAAGGAGCAGCCGCCGCTCTTTTTCAACTATACCAGCATGGCGAATTGCGATGTCTTTGACTTGGTGTACTATGAAGTCTTCAACAGCAACCCGTGCTTCGATCTATACGAGGTGAACATGATGTGCCCACTGCAATGGGATGTCCTGGCATTCCCCACCTCCCTTGTATACCAGCCCGAAGGCGCGACGGTGTACTTCGATCGAGCGGACGTCAAGAAGGCCCTGCATGCACCAAACGTGACCTGGGCCGAATGCTCAAATGAATCAGTCTTCGTTGGCGGCAGCTCCGGTCCCGAACAAGAGGGTGACACCTCTGCCAACCCCATTGAGCACGTCCTGCCACAGGTCATCGAGGCCACTAACCGTGTTCTGATCAGCAACGGTGACTATGATATGGTGATCATCACCAACGGCACCCTGTTGGCTATCCAGAACATGACCTGGAACGGCCACCTCGGTTTCCAGGAGAAGCCCTCCACCCCTATTGACATCGAGCTCCCGGATCTCCAGTACAAGGCCGTCTTTGAGGAGAATGGTGCTTCCTCTCTGGATGGTGCTCAGGGTATCATGGGTATTCAGCACTATGAGCGTGGTCTCATGTGGGCGGAGACCTACCAGTCGGGACACATGCAGCCCCAGTACCAGCCCCGTGTGGCCTACCGCCACCTGGAATGGCTGCTGAAGCGCACCGATGAGATCTAAATGTGTCAATAAATCTATTCGACAAGTCATTGCACAGTAATCGCTAGCATTAGGCTAGCCGAGGAAATGGAAAAATAGTCCTGTATATAGTGACCAAGCACATAATAATAACTATGTTCTGTCCAGCAAGAAACCTTCGAGTATATTGTGACCGAGGCCCTGAGATTTTGGCCTTGGATTAAACAGGCATAGCGCATACCAAGTACGCTCCATGCATAAATATGCAGTATGTGTATTTCGATGCCGAGCTTCCATACCCCAGAAAATATGAAACCGGGCCGTGGGCTCCCGTCTTACAGCCGATTGTGGCATACAGATCCCAAATTCTTCTTGGTTATGCTTGAGTAGTGGCCGCCACGCATGAAAGTGAGTTTTCCGCGGGAAACTCATTATGTCTTTAGCCTGTGTGATGTCAATTACTGGGACTGGCCTACCCATTTGAGTATATGTTATCTTTGCCAAGGTTGAGTTGCAGGCAGCTTATCAGAAGAATGGGATGGTATGGATGTTTTGATATTCGAATTCAGCCACCACGCTGATTCCAGATGCATTAGCCACGGATGCCGGAGTTGACATACTCTAGCATGAATGATGACCGTGTGGTAATGCCCGCGGATCCCGAGTCACAAAACACCATGAGAATTTGGTATTGGAGGGAGGTAAATCGAGAATTCTTGTCAAATTATCAGCACTTGGATGCGTGCGGTACATGTTTTGGACGTTTCTTGGAAGACACGGGCAGGCATTGGATGTTCTGTTTTCAATGGTTTGCTCATCTATCAATGCGATCGTTTAGTTTGTTTAGATTGCCCTGTGATAGTAGATCGAACGGATCTAATTCTTAAGTATTGTAACATTTCGGAAGATTTTTACCCGAGTCTATGTATTCCGCCATGTGGTAAACAATTCTCACTGAAATGCGCAGTCTGTTGATACCAGTAATTCAGACTACCGTATCGACTAGCGCTTAGCAATCGGGTTTAGCGTAATGTCAATCTTTACCGAAGATGGGCCAGCGTTGTTGTTTTACTTTGCGCAGAAGGTATCCCGAGAGCACATGTTCTTGTTGAAATGAAGCCAGCAGTTCTCACAACGAAGGCAGTGTCATGTCTCTCGCGGATGGCCATACGAAGTATAGCACTGACTGCATGCTGCCGCTGCCGCTGTAACGTGGTAATCCTGAATGTGCGAACCAGCCATGAATACCGAGAGGCAGTGCAAGTGATGAATCGGATCCTTCTAGCGAGACATCCAGTCTGCGCCAAGGGCCTAGGACTCGTCGTATAGCGAATAGGATCTCTAGGTCTCCGCGAGATCGGTGCAGGGGCGACCAGGATGCGTGAAAAGTTTTTATATCGCTTGGTGGGACTGAGTATTATCCGATATGCCGATTCCTTCTTGTGATTACTGATCTGTAATTTTTCATTCTGGCACCATGATCGTCTCCCAGATTGGTCCGTAGTCCCCAGACGGTCGGTCCCGTCCCCCCGTCCACCAAGAATGAGGGGGCCATCCCGCATTTTGCCCATATGCCGAGTAAATTATTCTCCGTTCTTCCTCTTCGACGTCAGCGAATCAAGTTTGACATTAGTTGTACCTTGAGGCTGGTAAAATCAAGGAAAAAGCGGAACCCTCCTAGTGTAGCCCATTACTCAAAGAGGGGAGTTACGACAAGCAGTGGTGCGGGCGTTGCGGGCGTTGTGGGCGGCGCCTCCCAGCGCCATCGGTACAAGGGGCGACCCTCGGAGGCTGACGCGGTAAATTACGAGCCAACAAACGGCCAAATTCCTACGACGTTGGAGAGCTTTTCATTGGTCAGGGGCAAAACCAAATCACGACAGCCGATGGACTTTCCTCAAACGCCCCGGAAGCGGCAAGATTCGCGCCTCTGCCAAGATGTTGGAGATGAGGTGAATTGCAGGAACCTCGTGCTGAGAGGCTTACCGGTTCAAGTCTTGGGAGGCCAATTAGGTGCCACAAGTCTCAACTAGACGTTTGAATGTAATCATCATGCATGAGATCGATAGGCAAGGCATATGATTGCCTTACTATTGGCAAAGGAGAATGTAAAGGGTAAAGAAACACGAGGACAGGGTCGAGTGGATCGCGATGACGTCGGTGCAGCACTGCGTGGAGAGGAGAAGGGTTGCGGTCCGTGTTTTGTCCGGTTTACGTATTACCCGAGGTCTTCGAAAGACATTGTAGAACCTTGAATTTATGCATAGGTAATGCTATGGGCGTCGGGATTGTCGATCGCATGGTTCATCCTGTTCTAGAGTGTATCCCGGTAGAGATTAGATGGTTGTTGCTATCCAATGGAATGGGCGAACGAGCGGCTATATGTATGAACTTGGCTACCGTGATGGTACTCTCTCTCTGTCCCGGGCCGTGTTACTGCTGACTTACCGTACGGGTCAAAACGGCCCCCGATGGTCATCCAATCGCCTACACTCCGGCTGAACTTCATTTGGGTCCCGCTCTGCCCAGAGCTGCAGCATTTCATGCTCATTGGCAAACGACATCCCTACTGGGAAAAATTTTCGTCCTCTTTGCTTCTTTCGTAGTCGGGCAAACCCGAGGGCCAAAAAGTATTTCCGCTTCGATGGCCTGATTCTTTCGACTCTGAATCTCTTGATCCTGGTTGCGAGCCTCAAAGACTCGGATCCGCTACACCCCGTCTCTCGCAGTATGAGATATGTATTCCCATTACAGCAACCACACTGTATCTCATACTCGTACGAAAAGCCTCGTTAGGGCCCACTCCCAAAGAGAGTTAGCGCCATCCGCCTTTTGCGCCAGACTTGCAACGGGCCCGCTTTCTCTACCCTTTGGCCAATACTGGCCTTGCCGCATTTTGTATCGCAGAACGGTCAACCCGTAATTTAATCCAGGTTGAAAGGGAAAAAAAGATAGGAAAGGGAAGGAGGGAACACTGCACTGCTGCACTCTGTGATACCGTGAATTCTATATAGTGCTTCATCTATCCCACCTCTTCTCCCTTTTTTCTTCTTCTTTCTGCATCCGTCCAAGATTCCTCGTCTTTATTTCTCCCCACTCTCCCTCCACCTCTTCCGGGTCTGGGGTATAGCTTCACAAAGCTTTCCTCACTCACTTTCTTTTCCAGGAACAACTTGTTTCTGGATTATACAGTATAGGTTGAGCCCATCCCCGGCTGATTCCTTCCGATCTTGTCAAGAAACCAAAGAAGCAAACAAAACAACGGACCGAATTGGTCTTTATCTCAGAGACCTCTTTATCAAAAGGCTCTTTTACAACGGACCCCTGCTCTCAAGTAGCACCTCGGCAATACCGACTTCGATTTTACGCCCCCAATCGACAAGAATATCTCTTTGTTCCATTGCGGCATCTTCCAACTCTCCCAGTGCGAGCCTGCCCACGATTTTACGACCGTTCCCCGACCCATTCACGATATAGGACTCGACTGCATCTCTGTTTCCACAGCGCCAATTTGTAGTCTTGCCCCCAACGGAAAGCTTACGATAACTTGCATTGCAAACGATCTCGACGAGTACCCTTGCGGATAGCAGCGATTTTTCTTCCCCCGAGCAACAATTTCCCCCAAAGTCCACTCGGTTCTCTACGTCTTGTTCCAACGCGCCTTGCCTATTAACCGTCAAGATGGGTCTCTCAAATTGGACCCCTTTCAAGAAGGATCGCCAGAATTTCCCAGGTGTTGTGATCCCGCTGGCTGATGCTCCTGCTCACATCTCCGCAAATGCGGATGAAAAGGCCAAAAAGTCCTTGGATCTTGCGTCTTCCTCCGAGAATGGCTCGGCTGGTTCGCTGCACGAGGCTACTCACTTGACTCTTGAAGCTCTCCGGGCGGAGGTGGAGTCTGATCTCTCCACGTCGGGCCAGGATTCAGTTTATGATCGTATGTGCTAAAGTCCCCCATCCGTTTGTCGTCAATTTAGCTCTCAAAGTGTCTACCGTGGTTATTTGCGCCAATGCGCAAATTAGTTCAATCTTTTTGCTCGATCCTAATCTTCTCGTTCTTGCAGGTAAAGCAAAGGTGATCAACCGCGCTATCCAAGATATCGGCATGGGACGATACCAATGGGAACTATTCTTCCTGTGCGGCTTCGGCTGGACCGCTGACAAGTAAGTCTAGCCACTTGACAACTGGTGTTCTTTTCTAGTTTTTATAAGCATGCTAACGTTCCTTTTTCCATCTAGTCTCTGGCTTCAGGTGAGGATCGTTGGATAGTTTATTGGTCACGTGGATCAAAGCTAATCATGTGCAGGGAGTTGCCCTAACTTTGACACCTCTTTCGTACGAGTTTGGTATCTCCGAGTCGAACGTTCGGTTTACGACTTGTGCTCTGTTCTTGGGTCTTTGCATCGGTGCCTCATTCTGGGGAATTGCATCCGATATCATCGGTCGCCGCTGGGCTTTCAACACCACCTTGTTCCTTGCGGGTGCCTTTGGTCTCGCTGCGGGTGGCGGTCCCACCTGGATCGGGTATGTGAACGAACTTTTCCGCATAATCGAACATAGCTAACGATTCGAAATAGTGTCTGTGCTTTGTACTCTTGCCTTGGTCTCGGTGTTGGTGGAAACCTCCCTGTAGATGGCAGTCTTTTCTTGGAGTTCCTTCCCTTTGCCTCCGGCAACATGTTGACCATGTTGAGTGTTTGGTGGCCAATCGGTCAACTGATCGGCAGTCTCTTTGCCTGGGCTTATATTCCCGCTTTCAGCTGCTCTTCTATGGAAGGCTGTACCAAGAGTCAGAACTGGGGCTGGCGCTATCTGATTCTCACTCTGGGTGCCATCACATTCTGCATGTTCGTCGCACGGTTCTTCTTCTTCCATCTGTACGAGTCGCCCAAGTTCCTGCTATCTCGCGGCCGCCAAGAAGAAGCCGTTGCTTCGGTCCATGGAATTGCATACAAGAACAAGACCAAGACCTGGTTGACCAACGAGATCCTCAACGAGATCGGCGGCTATGCCGAGACCAAGGAGGAAGAGAAGCTCACCTACAGCCAAATTGTGATGCGTTTCTTCTCCAAGTTCTCGATGGACCGAATTCGTCCCCTCTTCGCCACTAAGCGCTTGGCCATCAGCACCGTGCTTCTGTGGTTCTGCTGGGCTACCATCGGTATGGGATACCCCCTGTTCAACGCCTTCCTGCCTCAGTACCTCTCCAAATCAGGCGGCACCACCAACTCAAACTACATCACCTACCGGAACTACGCTATCACTTCCATCGTCGGTGTCCCCGGCTCCGTCTTGGCCTGCTACACCGTTGAAATCAAGTACATCGGTCGCAAGGGAACCATGGCCATCGCCACCATGATCACCGGTATCTTGCTGTTCTGCTTCACCGCATCCTCCAACTCCAACGTTCAGCTGGCCTGCAGTTGTCTGGAGGCTTTCTTCCAGAATATCATGTACGGTGTTCTGTACGCTTACACCCCGGAGGTGTTCCCTGCCCCGGTTCGTGGTACCGCGACTGGTATCTGCAGTTGTTTGAATCGGATCGCTGGTCTTTGTGCGCCGCTCGTGGCTATCTACGCTGGTGGTAGTAGCCCCGACGCGCCCATTTACGCTTCTGGTGGCTTGATTCTTGCTGCCTTTATTGCGATGGCTTTACTCCCCATTGAAACTCGGGGTAAGCAGATTCTGTAAAGAGTAGAATGTGCGGTTTGGATTCAGTACCAAAAATTCAGGCTTTCTTTTCTCTTTGATGTTGAATTCTTCTGTCGCACAGCGGTGTACATAGTTTTCCAATCTGGACATATTCGCAATTTAGATGCTGAGTATTTTCAATCTTACATTCCCCGTAGAAGTGTGCGTACTTGATTCTATCCGAAGCATATGCTTATGGCCCAGGTCCAGAATTACACATTCTATCTGCTTGCTCTGAAGCGAGGAGTAGATGATACTGAATGTGGATGGAATTATGGTGATAGAAGATACTAAATTACCACAAAGTTTAAAGAGCCCTGCGAAGGCTGGACCGGCTCCAGCGGGCAAGTACATTAGCGTTGTATTAGCCAGTAGTAAATCAGAACGACGAGGTCTGTATTTAATTTCACAATCACTATTGATGGAGAGTTCATTGCTAGTTCCATTATAGGAGCAAGGCCAAAAAAGCAAGAGCCATTAAATGCAACGCGAGATACCAAAAACCAACTCTACCAAATGATCTACGAGAAGACTGTCATACAGAATCAAAAACCCAACACCACATAGTGCAAGGAGGAGGAATCAAAAAAATCGACCCAGTTCCCATACGGACAACATGGGAGTAGCCAGATATGCAATTCGGGGGATCTCCAATGACATCACAAAAAGAGATAAAAAGGATCAAAATAGACAGCAACCCATACATAGACACAACACAAGAAAGAAACCAAAGCCAAGCATGAGATCCCTGTGAAAACAATGACAAACTCCATCCCAAGTCAAGCCAGCAGCTCTGCGAGCGACGCAGTAAACACGAATGAGAAAGGAACGGAAGATAAAGAGCAAAGGGCATCATAAGATCGGTCGTACCCATCTTCTATCGCTCGCAGTCAAAAAATCTTGAAATATGTATGCTCTCCTCCACTGGGAAATTCCAATGACAGTTGGAAACAGATAGAAGAAGGACGGAGATGAAGGTGGATGATAGGAGGATAAAGGTAAGACGTGTTGATCATGATGAGTCGAAGCGGAGTTTGGTAAAATAAAGAGGGTAGAGATGGAGATGTCGAAGGTGAGTATCCATGCCTCATGTCAATCATCAATGCACGTAGCTGAGAAAGAGATCACCAGAGAAGAAGGAGGAGGAGGAGGAGAAGAAGAAGAAGAAGAAGAAGAAGAAGAAGAAGAAGAAGAAGAAGAAGAAGAAGAAGAAGAAGAAGGTAAAATCGAGTCTTTTGTTCGTGTGCAAACCCGAGTCTAAGCTACCGGTTGTTCGTGGTTGCGACGCCCACGCTTCTCTAGCAGAGTCGCACCATCCAGACTGAGCTCGAATGGTTCATGCGGCTTTCGGCCGATGGCACTTCTGGCCGCTGCGGCCACTTTGGCATCGTGCTGTCCGTAGCCCTGTTGCTTGGGTTGGCGATGAGCCTGTCGGGCCTGAGCTGCGCTGCTCTGGGCACCGAGATTCGTGGAACGCAGCTTTGCTTCCATTCCAGCAACGTCACCAGCCTGGGTATTGGACTTAGCAACCTTGAGGGGAGGCTGTTCGGTGTTTTCTTCTCCGCGGGGGCGATATTCGGGTTCGTCGTCGTAGTCTTCGTTGAGAGATCCCAGCGCGTTTTGGAAGCCGGCCAGCGGGTGGCCACTTCGGGCAGCCTGCTGACGGTTCCGTCGGCGCTTGCCTTCCTCTTCCTGTCTGTGGACTGCGTAACCGACATCGAAAACTTCGCGCAAGTTGAAGGCTCCCGGCGAGCGGAAGTCCATCCGGCGCTCTGAGGCTACGGATGGCGCATCCAGGAACCGGGCACTGGCAGGCTGATATGGAGCTTGGTCAGCGCTGGCGGGGTCGAGTTGGAGAGAGCCATCTTGGCGAACCTGGCCAAATGGTGTGGCCAGGGGCGGTGCGTCGGCGGCCGCGGTGGTTTCCTCATCAGTTTGACGGATCCATGGGTGTGCGAGGAATTCCTTGATGGTGTAGCGCTTCTCCGGATCGACAGTCAAGAGATGCGAGATCAAGTCTTGAGCCGATTTGGAGATATCGTCCCACCAGGGTGAGAGGAAGGTGTATTGGCCCCGAGCCACCTTCTCCGTAAGGACTTGAATGCTCTCGTCGTAGAATGGAGGGAATCCACACAGTAAAGTGTAGAGAACACAGCCCATGGCCCACATATCTACACTCTTGGAGTATCGCTCATCCTTCACAATCTCCGGTGCTGTGTAACCGACGGTTCCGCAGGGGGTCATGGTCTGACTATCCCAGATCACCTTGGACAGACCAAAATCGGCAATTTTGATCGTACCGATACCACCAGATCCGACACCCGGGATGAACTCTCCTTCATCCTCTTTGTCTTCATCGCCCGGCTGCTTGGGCTTCGGATGTTTGCTTGGAATGAAGGGGGTGGGGTAAAAGAGCAGGTTCTCTGGCTTGATATCACTGTATTTCCAGTTAGTATGATGGAGTCGATTCAACATGGATCATGGATCATAGTCACCACGTACCGATGAACAACGCCGGATGTTTCATGCAAGTATTCAATGGCCTTGGCCACTTGGAGAATCACGTTTCGGCTCAAATCTTCGCTAAAGTATGTCAATCGCACGATTTGGTGGAACAACTCTCCGCCAGGGCAGAGCTCGAGAATGATGTAGTAATATTGCCGAGATTCGGAAAAGTCAACCAACTTGACAATATTGGGGTGGTCAAGATTGCGCATAATTTGGACTTCCTTGAGGATATTCGCTCGCTATAAACACCAGGAATGTATTAGCGACAAGCCTCACCTCATGCGAGAATTGAAACGGCAGTGGCACACGCAAGAACACGGAAAGTGAGTTAAAAAAGGAAAAGAAAAAAGAGGTCGACGCGTCGCCACCACCGATGGAAATGAGGCGTGGTATAGGAGATAGAATGCGCACCTCCGCAGCCCGTGGGACCTTTTTGACGCTGGGATGAAGGTGGTCTTCTGACTACAAGAAAGAAAGATATTGGCAATGTTTTCTCTCTGGAGATGGAGAGCATCACTCGAGCCATGCAACCAGACACACACCAGGAACACGAGACCAGAAGGAAACAGGAAAGAAACAATAAGAAGGTAGCCAAGGAAACAAAAGGAAAGTAAGACACTTTGGTCGTCCCTACCTGATTGCTGTTCATTTCGAATTTGCGCACGACCTTGATAGCCACCTCGTCCAATTCTCCGGTGGTATCCTTTGCGCGGTAGACATTACTGAACGCGCCATCGCCCATTTTCTCCACCAGAAGCCAGCGGTCGAGGCCGGGATATTGAGGCATCTTCGAGCGGCTTGTTCTCTCTTCCTGAACGAGGCGTTCGATGTCCGCGGACCGATCGTGCTTCACCTGAGCGTCGGTTTTCTGCTGAGTGGCTTGACCATTACCTCGCGCGTCGCCCTTGTCGAAAGCTCCAAGAGCCGGAGAGAATTGGCCTTGTGGTTGTGGCTGTTGTTCGGCGTGGACGGTGGACACGTCGGTAGTGGGTTCGGAATGGGGTGTTACGAGGCGAGCTTGCTTTCCATGTCGGATGAAATTCTTAATATTCTGTATCGTGCTCATTGTGGGAAGGCTCAAGGCGAACGAGGAAGGAATCTATGAGTTGTGGACCGGTGAATGTCAAGAGGGAAAAGAGGGAAAAAATTGGCAGGGCGTCGGACGTGGGGTGGTTAGGCAGTCAGCGGAGAAAGGAAATCAAGTTGTGCCCCGCCACAGATAAGGTTAGGAGATGTTAGGAGATAGGACTGAAGGGAAGGAAAGGACGGAGGTTCAAGGGGAAAAAAAGGGGGGGAGGGAAGGAAAGAAGATGTGGAAAAGGAAACTGGAAACACGGATGAGGTCAGAGTTCACAAGATTCTGGTCAGGGTAGCAGATGGAGGGAGGGGATGAGATTGGAGTGGGAAATGGGGGAAACGGGGGAACTGGACGAGAAAAAACGCCTATGACGACGTCCGATCTCCGGGCGATGTCATCGGTCTTGGTTGCGGGATGGCCGCATTTTCCCAGCTTTCGACTTGACTCGCCTTTGATGACTTCGATGTCTAGTAAGCTTTAAATTTAGTCAACTATTGATTATTAACTATTATCCTTGTGACCACACCTCTTGAATTATTAATGTTGATGGGTCTCTTTTTGGTGACCTGCGTAATGACCTGGATCTTTGGCTGACCGTAGAAACTTGGGGAACTCATCCTTCAACTAAGTCTATCTTGAAGCCTTTACGGTCACTCAGCTATACGGACTACGAAGCCATTGTACTCTGAAGGAAGCCCTGTCATCTTTCCATTCGAATACTGGCCAACTGTCGTCATCGCCGCCACTGATGGTCCACCCGTCAAACGGTTATATTAATGGACGTGATTGATAATGGACCCCTGGAGGATATGATCAATTTGATCGTGTGAGAATAATTCTATAGTATCTGCCATTATAGTCGCGCTAGGATCCCTGCTCTGAACCTCCGTTGAACGTGCACGATGATATCTAAACGACGTCTTCTTCGTCTCCGTAACTTTCTTTTTCCTTGGCCGGAGCGCGCCGCCGCGTCTCCTTGATCGCCAACGATGACTGACATGACGGCTCTTGCCCCGCTCAAACCACTTGCCCATCGTCTTCCCAGCTCTATTATCGGCTATCGTAGCCTCTCTGAGAGCCTCGCCTCCATGGTTCGAATCTCGAACTACTTACCGTTCCTTCTCTCTGGTCTCAAGATTGGGGCGGGCCATGGCCGCCGTTTCCGTGGGTAACACACAGACCCGTTTTTCAACAAAACCAGAATTCCCCCTCTCTCCGGGGGCAATGATATCAAGCTGCCGACCTTGGCAAACCAAGCTGGTGGAGGTTATATCGTCATCTTCGCCACCTCCACCAATCCGGAGCCCGGATATACGATTGTCACTTCTGATATGGTGCTTGCTCAATTGCTCCTAGTCAATCTGATAGGCGGGTTCTCGTAGTCGCAATTTACTCTATTTACCTCTTACCTCACCAGAGATAGTCCGAGGCCCCAGGTCTGAGTCCCGTTCTTTCGTGCGGCTCGTCAACCCCCGAGGCCAAGGAGCTCTGAGACCCTGCAGGACTGGAATGTGTGAGGCGTGTGGCTTGCGCATTTGGGAGGAGACCGTAGACCTGCATGATTTGCCATGACATCGCCAAGGACCAAAGCATCATCAAACATGTCTGATGCAAGGAGCGTCGGATATAGAAAGATCCAAGGAGCTCTGGAACCCGCCGCGCCCGCATATCCTACGCATCTCCCGGATCTGGGCATACTTGGGGGGCCATACCCAGGAACTAGGAGAAAAAAAAAGAGTTTGATGATCCAGGAACGCGTGCTATTTTGATTCTCGATCCCCACATGGCCCAGCCCGGAGGATTACATCTGGGGTAGTCGTTGATATTGGCAAGTATAGTACGCGGAACTAACCGTTTAGTCTTACGGTATACAAGTATTAAACATATCATATCACACTAGATATATTTATCAGCTCAAGAAATATCTTCGGACATAACAGTAAAGATGTATGTATTTACATTGCTCGATCGGAGTGTATTTTGGGTAACGCAGGTAAAACCTATTTTCTTGATATACTAATTATCCTAGAGTATTTCTAAATAAGAGAACCATCTGATTCCAACAGAGATTTTCTCGTTGTCGATGTATTAGCACGTACAATGTCGCATTTAGTGTAGTGTTTCAGGGTGATCGGGAATTACGTTAATAGGTTGCTTGCATAGTCTGCTTCTTCAGACGTCGAGTGTTCAGTTTCATACTTTTTAGCCTAATGGATTGATTATGCCCGGTTCGCTGCCATGATAGTCCGTGCTCCCATACCTACCCAGACCTTCTCTTTGTATTTGGCGGAAGTATACGGAGTACAGAAAATGGGAAATCCAAAGCGAGCTGCAGGGGCCAAGGGGCGCATTTGGCCAACGGTCATTTGCTTCTTTCCATCATACCGGACACCAATACGAAAATTCTGTTCACTTATTCGAGAAGAGTTGAAACGTTGGCCCCGGCCCTTTAGATAGGGTTACGTGTGCTATTCAACCTACTCTTAGGGTTTCTATCGTTCTTTGTTGCCTTTCGACCATCCTCGACGGCTCTCCCCTTTTGCCGTTACTTCCATACTACGTGTACACTCCGTACTTCACAATCTTTCCGATCGTTGACCTATCGCCGGGCACTCACAGGTACGGTGCATATCAACCGACGTGACAACTCTGCGTACTCCGTACGGAACGCCGAGTCGCCCAGTTGCCTGCCGAGTCCTTTCCCCCCTCCCAGCCACCAAAACTACAAACCACCCAATCCTACCGAATTGTCCAACTCCAAATCAAAATCACCCTTACTGTGCAGCACGACTGTCCCGTCCATACAGACCCGGTCGCCTCAACCTCACTTTCAGTGGATGCACCAACTGCAACTCCCCCCCCCCCCGGTTGACTCGAAACTGCTCCTCGAACCGGGTGATCGACTCCCTTGCATCTAACAAAGTCCCATCCGTCTCGACTCATCTACTCGCTCATTCTTATCTATCCAGCCAGCAAAACCCCCCGCGCCCTACAGACTAGGTCGGCGTCTGCCGTGATGCGACCGTCGCAACCTTTCCTCCTCGCCCTCTGAGCAATCCTGCCATGCTATTAAAACATTCTCCTTTGACAGCTCAGTCCCCCAACAGTCGCATTCACCCAACGATCGCAGGGGGCTTGATTTTGGCGTGTTTCCGGGCCCAGCAAGATGCCCGGTGTGGGAGTGATGGGCGCATCGGTGGACGTACCAGAGCGACCGCTTCTCAGGTCCCACAAGGCGCTCCCGCGGAGGGGCATCGTGGTCCCTCAGATCGACCTGATCCAACCGTCCTCCCCGGAGTCAAATGGCACAGTTACTGCGGCGCCGTTTCCTCCGTTGACTCCGCCTGGCGCAAACCAGGAAGAGAGCATGGGAGAGGAACGGACGCCACGGAATATCAACTCATCGCGCTCTGAGAACCAGTCCACGGGCATCTTGACGCCGCGCCGGCTCTCCAAACCTCCTACCCCCGACGTGACACCGCCGCGCACAACTTCCATCAAGCGACCGAACCTCAATCATAGCGTGCACCTGTCGTCATCATCGCGCGCCGATTCCTTTCAGACTGCCTGCGAGAGCATCTCGTCTGATGGAGACATGGAAACGCCCGTTCGATCCAGATCCCAATCTGCGTCGCAGAATGCCAAGAAACGAGTACCTTCGACCAACAGACAGAATGCTCGGAATGGCGTCAGTGCAAAACTGAAGTATAAGAAAGAAACCCCACCTTCTGCTTCGCAGCCGCTTAGCGAGACCGAATATGAAACTGGTTTTGAGTCGTTCGACGGAGAGTGGATGTCCAACAAGACCGATGCGTCTCCAACACCACTGGTGGCTGAGAAGCGCAAGCCTTCAAAGTCCCGAAGTGTGCCAAAGCACAAAACCACAAAGACAAGTACGGACACGCTGGACGTGCTGCATCTCGATGAGTCCTTGATGAGAGAAAAGAATCTGCGAGATAGGGTTCAAACAATGCATCAAGTGGCCGAGAGTCCGTCGATGGAACGATTCCGCGAAGATATTGGCTGGCCATCTAATGATGAGCCTTCCCATGTTGATGAAGCGGAGTCGCGCCGTTTATCGGGAGTCTCTTCCACGTCCACAGTCGAGGCGATGATCATCGATTCTCCGAAAAGGGCCCACCGGTCATTGCGACACACCGAGAAGAGAAGCTCTCTCCGATCTGCAAGTTCTCCTATCACCAGATCCGAACGTGCATCCACAGCCTCAAATACCGATTCGCAACATCGTCTTATTCACAAGGCTGCTCGCATCTCGGAGCAGGATCGTCGGAGTATTTCATCCGACGTCTCATTCTCCACCAAGACGACTACGAGCGCACCTCCTATCCCAGCCGATATCATTCCCGTAGTGGTCATCCCCGAAAGACGCTCTTCTCTCAAGTCTGGACCCAACAGCTACGCCTCGTCTAAACCCGATTCGCAGCGATCCAGCCGACGACCTCCACCGGTATCATCAGATGGCTCGATGAATGCCCCGCGACAAAGACCGCGGACCATGTCGGATTCCGTATCTGCAAAGTCCCGAGACAAGGACTCAAGGGGACGCATCGTTGGTCGACCAGTCGTCCCCCCGCGGAGCTCTTCGCTCTCTGCACCGACAAGTCGCAACAACTCTCGCGCCACGTCGCTGACTTCGGAAAGCCTGCGAAGCCATACACTGGCTATGGATTTGGAGATACAAAAACGGCGTGATCAGCAGCCCGTTTCGCCGCCCCGCCATAATATCCTTGGACCCAATGGTTACGGCAAGACTTTATTGGAGCCTCCCAATCTACCGGATATTATGGTTAGCTCAACGGATGATATGGCCACTCTACGGCCGCCGTCATTACCGTACACACAATGGTCGATTCCATCATCCTCGCCGGGTCCCATTGAGATTCGAGAAGCCACCGCGGTTAGCCTTTTTCCGCACAACAATCGATCTCTGCTGTTAGTTGATCAACGGGTGCCGCAAGACCAACGCGGGTTTGGAATGTTGAACCGAGGGTTGCCCGCTCGTGAGGCCAACCCGCGGACTCCAGACAACCCCATTCCAATAGGAGAAATATTTGTGGAATCTCCGTTGAAAAACCCCCGTCCACCACCTAAACCTCCGGTCTCCAAACCTCTCCCACCGCTCCCGACCCATGACATGACGGCGGATGCTACCACCGGAGGCCTCGTTCGTCGATGGACTTCTGTTCGACGCACATGGAGTGCACGCCCTCGGTCGGATTCATTCAATACCATCACTCGATCTCTCTCCATGCGATCGGCCAAGAATCGCAAGGCAGGAATAGAAATGGACAGCCGCCTACACCCCTTCTGGCGTCCACGAGGATTCTGGGACGATGTCCCCGGATCCCCCAAGAAAGAGAAATCAGCTATCCATACCCCCGCAGAGCCTGGCTTCGTCAGTAACTCACTGGGCCTCCCGCAACAACGGCTCATCTTTGAGGGGCCTCCTGCTCTCAACCGCCGCAGCCCCGAGATGAAGCGCTTCTTCAATGGACTCTCTTCCTCCGCACATTACCATGTCAGCCGTGGTAGTCTCGTCGACAATGGTGGTATTCTGCGTACCGGATCGCCGCTATATCAGAATCGCTACCGCACCTTGTCTCGTTGGGGCATGCGCTGGCGATCATTGTCGCTTCGTAGCGTGCGCGCCCAAATTCGACGAGTCCGTCAGCGTCGCGAAGAGCGGAAACGAGCTGCACGCCGGGAAACGCTGAAGCAGAGTATCGGTGGCCCCGTGTACGTCGTGTCTAGCGCGACCAATGGGGTCGTTGGCTGAGGTTCGCTCTTTTTTCCCTTTTTTTTTTTTTTTTTTCTTTTTTTGTTATTTTCACGCTTTTATGACCCCGCTCCAAGCCTATTTAGTGGATGTGTTTCAGCTGAAGAAGATTACGGTGTACGCGGGAGTTGCAAATGCTAATTTTGCCTCGTCTTGAGATGGAATTTCTCGATTTGATTTACATCTGGTGTTGTTTTTTCTGCGTTCCTGGGTTGACTCATTCTTATGATTGTTTTTTTCTTTTCTTTTCTTTTTTTTCTTTGTTCCCTTTGATACGAGATTCACGAAACGATACGAAGCACGACGATGACTCGATGACTTATGCTTATGCTCATGCTTATGCTGACGCTCATGCCCAATTAGCACTATGTACCTCCCTGCGGCCACCTTTCGGTGGCCATGATGTCAAGATGTACTATAAGATAAGCCTCCCTGCGGTTCGGTGGATACACACTTTGCCTTTGAGTCCGAATGAATTGATAGTTGTTTTTTTTCCGTTTGCACGCCGCTTGCGAGACAAATGCATTGTATAACGTTCAATTCGTAGTTGTATAGTCATTGTGGTATAAACCAGGACACACCCGATAAACACCCATAACGCCTAGACACCATGAATGAAAGATAGTATCAATATCGTCCACCCCAATATCCCCTCCCACTGGCCCTCGTCCGCTTCCCCCGTCCACTAACACTCGACCTCCCCCGAATAGCCATCGACCCATACTCAGCCTCCCTCTCTCGCCTAATCCGCTGCTGATCGGGCGTCTCAGCGGGTCCCGATGCCTCTGACAAGATCTCGCCTCGTCGACGAGTACTGTCTGACACACGTTCACTTTCATTCTCACCCGCTGACGCGGAGGCAGCAGTAGCCCGTGCTCGCTTTAGCATCGCTTCCCAGGTCGGCGGGTCCAGAAAGGGCTGGGGAGACGAGGCGAATGAGAATTCAACTCGGGCGGGTTTGTTGATGGTGGATTCCCTTGTTTCTTCGTCTTGGTTGTTGTCGAGGGGTGGTTTCATGTGCGTCGTTGCTGGTGATGTGCTGGGGTTTAGCACTTTGTATACTTGTTTAGAGTTGGAGGTGGTGTGTGTAGTTGGTGGAAGTAAGGGGCGCTTATGTGGGATCAAAAGAGGGCGTTTTGATGTCATCTTGAAGGTGGTCGATGAGTGAGATTCTTGAGAAGAAGGCGATGGATGATGTCGCCTCACGGCCCACGGGTCTTATCGGCTTATCAGCTGCTCTGGACTACCGAGCACCCAACGTTGATGGACTCGCGCACCTTCTCTCTACAAAGCTTCAGACTAAATTGCAATTTTCATGGCGAGTATGTTGATTATTCACTCGATCTCATCCCTTCTCTCTGCCGCAGGCGAATCTCCAATCCAAAGTTGGGTACACAAAACTCCTCAAACGACAACGACCCATACAACGACTCCCTCCGCCCTGCTCCCTGCTTGGAACTTGGCAAAACATCATATTGCAGCAGGAGATGCCCCAAAACCAGTTTCATAAGTGCACTCGCCATCCAGCGGCCGGGACTGCAATGGAAATACGAACAGTGCATTGTCAGCCGATAAAATCTCGGGACGGCAGTTGGAATTCAAAGGCCAACGAAAAGGAATAGGGAAAAGCAACGGGTTGCTGTCGGCAAAACGCAGAATGCAATGAACTGCGAAACAACTTACCAGGCGTGCACTCCCATTCCGAATACGAGATATTCCGGGCTAAGGTCGACGAGCTTGGTGTTGCTGGCTCCGGCGGCGGCGCGCTTTGCGAAGCGAAACCCGTCAAAGGTTTCCGGGTCGGTATAGGCTGAGCTTGAATATTGGATTACGCCGCTGGGGACGCCGACGTGTGTTCCGGGTTTGAGAGTGATACCTGAGATTATTGGTTTCAGTGTCAATATCGCCGACTTACTCAAGTCATCCCTAAAGGCTAATTAGTGAACCACCCGTGACGACACATACCATTGGAAAGTTGCAATTCGGTCACGCAGACTCGGTGAGCAGATACTGCCGGTCCATTAGTTGGCTGTTATTGCAGATGAATCCCGATGTACTAATCATATGAACATACTGGCTGCAGGAGGATGCAATCGCTGGCACTCCTTCAAGAAACTGTCCATCAAAATCATTTGATCACAGCTTGCCACTGTGGGCTCTCGATTGGCTAGAAATGCTTCGGCTTCCTCGCGCAGAGGGTCAGTGTACTCTGGACGCTGCGCGAGCTCTGACAAAGCTCCGTAGAGTGCCTGTATAGATTGACACCAAAGTATCGTGTTAAATCCTCTGTGCAACGTCTTACATGGCTCGTAGTATAGGCCGCACGTACATAGGCAGTTGTATATATAAATGCGAACTGTAGGAGCAACATCTCGCCAATGACCTCGGAGTAGCTCCATTTCTGATTCACGATGGAGTTTTCATATAGCCAACGGAAGATCTCGACCTGGACAAAGACTCTACCGTAAGCATTACATGAGAACCGGACAACAATGGTGAACAAGACGGGACTAACCGGATCCTCCTTTTGTTCAGGGTTGGTCTTGAGATCCTCGACGAGGTCACCACTGGCCATTTCATTACGATATTCGGCCGCCCGCGCATCGAAGTGCTTCAACAGGGTCTTACGAGATGCATGCATATCCCATCGAGTGCCGAGAGTGGCTAAGCGGCCGATGAAGCCACCAAAATACCTATGATGTCGAGACACCGTTAGTCTCATGTTAACAAAAAAGCAAGACGGTCGGCTTCTGACCTCTTTAAGCCATCGGGGACTAGGAACTGGACTCGAGTGGTAACGATCATCCCCAGGATATGATCCTTAACAGCCTGGATATACTCTTCATTTTGGGATAATCGTGGTCCCACCATGGCAAAACTGCCACTGCGTGCAACGATCGAGTAGGCAAAGTCGAAGCAACCAACCGCACATTCTGTGAGAATAGGCATTAGCAAGGCTTTCAGTAGACTCAATTTGTCGCTCAATACAGAAGTATTTAGACACACCTGTGTCCGTGAATTTCAGTGCCCCCAGCTGAGAAGATATTGCTTTATTCATATGCGGGATATACCGGTCTAACTGTTTATGTGCCGTGCCCCGAATAAGACCAGGGGTGGTCTTTGCAATTGCTGGCCATCCTTTTCCCTTGGGAAAGTATCCTGGCATGACATGAGAGATTTGAAGTAGCTATCTTGATTTTAGTAGTGAAAATTTATTCCCAAACCTTGCAGCTCGTGAGATTTCATGGGAGATCACACGTACCTGATCAATCCATGGTTCGGGCGATGCAACCGCACTTCGGGTATTCTTCAGCTCTTCGATTAGTTCTGGCTTACACAGGACAACCTGTCCAAAGCGGAAAGTGCGTGGAATCTCGAAAAGGCCATTGGAGAACCGAGCGTAACCGTCTTTAATAAGAGCTGGGCCGTTGACCACGAATCGATATTGCTGGTATAAGATGGATAGTGGGCTTTTCCCCGATACCATTGGAGTGCAGTCCTGTGATATAGTAAGTACTTTGTCACCGAGCGCAATGAGCAGGCGCGCCAATTGATTTCAACTCCCTTAAGAAACTTCGTGATTGTACCAAAGGGCCCGAGAAAAACTAACATTTGCGAGGTATCGGGACCTAGCAACCAGCGCAAGCATAGTCACCAAAACAAGAGCGACAGGTAGAACCAGGCATATTGAAATAGCCATTTGCCTGATATCGAGGCCAGTCGGCCAATCGATAGGCATGATGGCCATTTTGTTAGCTGAGAACTCAGGACTAAGACAGAACTGTGATTTCCCGGCGTTGGAAGGGAAACAAAGAAATTACTCCGAGTTTTGGAAGCTGCCGAACGCATTTATACACACCTCGACAGAACATCAGGTTCAAGTCGGCCCAGGGAGAGTTGGTGATGTTGAGCTCATACTACACAAAGTACGACGACAAGGCATATTCGACGCCTAAAGCCTTGAGGTGGAGACAAGTGCATAGCACTAATTTTCAAGTGGTAGCCAATCGGACTGCGAGTGATCTAGGATATGTGATTTCGAATGCATACACGAATCAGATCACTGACTATGTTGCTCGTGGCTGCTACACTAAGTGGACGGAAACAAAGAAACAAACAGTAAAGGAAGGGCTCATTTTCGAGCACGGAACTACCACACTGCAGCCCAGCACAACAAAGAACGAAAAGAGGCTCAAATTTGAGCATGCACCCACCACACACTAGATAACAGTCGGACAAAGAAACTCGTAGATGTGGGGGAAAAATATAGGCGGGGCCCGAGTAAGTCAAGATAAGTGACAACGAAATTTAACAAAAACAACTCCCAAAAAGGTATCAACGATTGAATCCGTGTGGTATAATGATACAAACAGAAGCGTTAACAATATACGCCCGCAGAGAACCGGAAGAAAACGCCTACAGAAATAGCGGTGCATATACGTCTATGCAATGCTTTGCGGCTCGATGCCACCTATCGTGGAGTAAGAGTAAGGCAAATCTACCAGACCATCGAGCAGCCAGTTCAGCGGGTCGAAGACCTCGTAGTTCGGCTCCATGAACCCACTCGGAAGTCCGGCGACGCTACTTCCTGGCGCTTGGATTCCAAGGCTTGGCTGCGCTAGCATTGGTGCAGGTGCAAGACTTGGGTCACCACCGGAAATTCCAGGTGTGGATGACTGGGTCCGTGGTAGGCCAACGGAAGATGCGGTAGAGGAATCCGCCGTAGAATCTGGGTTCGTTGGATTCTTGAGATATGCTAAAAAAGAGTTTAGTGCATGTCATCTTCTTAACGACAGAAAAGAAAGATGTCTTACCTTCAATGTTCCGACCTTTAGTCCGCGTGTCCTCTCGCCATCGCCATACCGAGTCGAACAGGAGAGACATGCTCATCCGGCAACGGACCTTGAGTCGCAACGAATCATCCACATCGGTGCTATTTCCAGCCGATCGCTGTGTTCCACCTCCGAGCCTCCACATCTGGGCAAGCACTTCGGCTAGACGTTCAGGCAAGTCATTGCTGGAAACCGACACGCCACGGATGGCCCAGATAGTACGGTTGAACAGATTTTTCGTGTACTCCATATCGATATGGGATGAGAAAAAACTCTTACTCAACTTGAGAAGAGTGCAGCCGGCTGCGACCATCATCTGATAAATGTAATATGGGGTATAACTGAGCACCGGTCCAACGTCCGTTTCGAGATTCATGACAACCTCGAGGAACGTTGTGGTGGCAACATATAACGAGAGCAGACGCTCGCGGTAGTCTTTCGCTGAAGGTTCATCGAAAAATGCGGACAGATGTAAGTGGAGGTTTGAGGCACGTAAGTACAGATTAGTTATGGCTGGAATTCATGATTAGTATAGGCCCTAAAGTGGTGGGGAAGAGGATGGCATTACAGTCATTTTGCGCTTTCAGTTGCTCCTGGATCTCATCAAAGTCACGCGAAAGGAAAGAAATCATTGTGTGTCTCTCTTGGTCCGTAGTCAGACCGACGGGGTCTCGCCGGTTGCTGTACAGAGCTCTGGTGATTTTATCACAAAACTTCTCAACCTCCAATCTAGGCCTGATATCCGCAGACAACTTGAAGTTGGGGTCTAATGAGTCACTCGACAACGTCCAGTCGTAAAGTGTTGAAGGCGGTTGACCGTAACCAGTTGATACACTGACGATAACCAAAAATTAGCTTGGCGCGGGAGCGTACATAGACCATGGGTCAATCATACCGCTGTGCAACAATGTTGCAAATAGCCCAGGTTTGTACCTTATCCCTCAACTCTTCCTCGATTAGCTCCACACGGAATTTGCTGAAGTCCTGACTGTGCGACGGGCGATGGAGACCAAGCTGCATGGCGACCTGGATCATCATTCCACAAAGCATAAACGTTGGGTCTGTGGAAGTACTGCTTGTTGGGAAGGGCCATGAGCAGAGCAGGCAGAGCGCCTTCACAACATGGTAGCTTTGGGGAATATCCGCCAATGTACTCCACACGAGTCGAGTAACGGGCGCGGCGAGGGAAGTCAACAGGCCCGAATCACTCTGGTACCGTCTAGCTCCGACGCTGATGATTGTCCAGAAAAGTAGAGGTGAGGCGGTATAGTAGTCTTCGGGGGTCTTTGTTCGGTTGAGGAAAGGAAGAAACGGATGGTAATACGTAAAAAACCTGTTGCTGTTAGAACTAATCGCCCTGCTCCTCATGAAGTCTTCTGAAAATGCTGGAACCCACAGATTGAAAATTTCCGAAACCTTCTCTGGAACGACCATCACATCTTCAATCCGTTTGAATTGATGATTGCCGTTCCGCATGTAGTTGGCTCCATCGAACCCCGAACGCAAATCAAGCAGCGACGCGACCGCTTCTTGAGAGCCCATATACTGATCCGCCGACATGGCTGACGGGGTCTGGTAAACATTGGCGGGGCTGACTTGATTCGATTCTTGCTTAGGCGTCACTTGACCTGCGGCTAGTGGTGGTTGTTGCGGGTAGGTACCTGGGCCCGAATTTGCCGTAGCGATTTGCTTCCTGAGCTCGATGATTTCTCGTTCCATTTCCGCATTGCGACTGCGCTTTCCAACCCGCTTGAAGTTGGACTCGATCTTGCAGTCGAGTCTTAGCCGACGACATCTGGAACAGTCGGTCCACGGGTCCTGAATGACATCGCATCGAAGCTATACGAAAACATCCAACTTAGCAAGATGTCTTGTTTGCGCGACCATGCCTGGGCGAACGCCGCCACCCGGCCGCGTCGCATTGAACATAGCAACTGAACGTACCTTTTGCTGACGACATTCGTTGCAGGCGCGCTTTACGGGTTGTCGCCTCTTGTCGTCACGGTCGTTATCATCGGCGTCGTCGATACTGCCCGGTGAGCTGTCCATCCCCGCAATAGTGACATTGCGCTTGCGACCAGGCAGGCTTTCGGTAGCAGCCATAGAGGCAGCAGTATGATTAACACCCGCCATTACGGGACTGGTGGCTGCTGAATCATTATCAATTTTCGTAATGGAGTCCGGAGCCTGGGTCTGCGACCCTTCGATTCCGCTCGGTCGCCCAAAAGACGCCAGGCTGATGACGTTGCTGCAAGCGGGACCAAGATCCCGAGGGGCTGCGGGGAGAATTGCTCGTCTAAAGAAAGGCCTGCAGCGCGGAGAGGATGTTCCGGCTGCGATCTTAATGCGCAATCACTTTTTTTCAAGCCCGAGATGATCTTTTCGTTCTCCGCACAGGCCGTGGGATGCAGACTTCAGTTGCACCAGTAAGAATGACTCAGCGCGGGGGTCTTCACGTGACTTGGCACCCAGGTTGGACGAGCCTCTGATGTAATGTTCAGGCAGCACAAGGCATGAATTCGGCCGGACTTGTCCTCGAGCTCCCCGGCCAACCAAACTTCATTTGGGAATTTCTGCTTGGCCCCGCGCTAATGAAAGCTAATATCGCTAGGAAATAGTGTCTCGAGCCGTAATCTATCTATCCCTCTTAGTAGCAGTTATTCCACCTTTGCATTAAGCCATGGGACTGCTACAGACGACAATCGATATGTATTGTTGCGCACTCACAAGTCAAACACCACCGGTGATCCACAATGGAAGGTGGGCGGCCGTTGCTATCTACTAGCGCGGGATCGATTCAGTCCCAAGCTTCGAGACTGCTTCCTCGCTTAAATACTGTTTTGTATGAAATGACGTGATTGAAAAAGCGGGACTAAGATAAAGAAAACCTGATGAATATTTGTTATTGTTAACTTTGTCTTACGAAACGCTTCTATACGATAGGTCTAAACCTCATGATTCAAGTCACGATCTACTTTATGGCAATTTAGAATCAAGAACTGAGTGTGCATTCAATTTAAGGAAGCTACTGCGAGAAAATGACACGCCAAGATCCGACTTGATTGGGTCATCATCACGAGTGCAAGAAGTGAGAAGCCCGTATAGACGATACCGAATATAGGTACGGGTTTCTCGTTGAGGTCCAGGATGATGTGATGCTCATTAACTTCACTCTCTCCAGGAGCCAAGTCTCCAGACAAGCGACGCTTGCTGGCCTTTCTGCTCGAGCCGTCGGTAGATACGCATCTGGTAGAATGATGTTGAACAAGATCACGTCAGCGGTGATTCATCCTTGAAGAATTCTGGAGAGTACGCTTAAGATGAGGAAAGTGCTTGAACATGGCTCGGTCGACGGCAGAGGCGATTTTACACCTTGAAAGCCGAAGCTCGTCTGCTGTAGGCTCTCAAGCTTTGCAGCCTGTAGTTTATCCAATGGCAAGGGACACCACCACATAGAATCTCCATATTTCAATTGACCATCGTCGACGAGGGTTTTCCGCAAGAGGTCAAATTAAGCCGGTGAGATGGATGCCCCGCTGATCCAATCTCCGAGTGTTTGAAATCCAGATCCTTCGGGGAAAAGAAAAGAATGTCACCGAGTCGAATTGGAATCGGCGGCTTGTGAGATCTGCTCGAACTACCAATACATCAGCGTTTGGAACGACTGTGGTTTTTTAGTAGTCGAAACCACCATTGGGTGTAGGGGTTGACGAATGCCATGATACTGGAGCCTTTCCTCATGAGCTCCATGCATCGTTCTAGGAGCCGATACCTCTCCTGTTCGAGGTTGCAAACAACTAAGGCGAAGACCTCGTAAACGGTCGTCAGGACCGCATTCTTCTCCTAGTCTGTACTGGCACCGATTCTCTTCCAGGAGTGATATTTTGGAGATCGGTCTCAATCGGGTCTTGGTTCTTCAATCGACATGTCGGGCAATGATCAGAGAAGAAAGTTGGTCAATGGTAGTATGTGATTTAGCTGACCAACTTGTCAACGGAGGGGATGGGGGGCTTTCTGGGTAGTCTCACGTCGAACTTGCCTTTCATATTCCCTCGATCTTTTTATAGGTAGAACTCATCACGCAAAGCAGAGATATATTCTGGGACCTAAAAAATTAAAAAAATGAAAGGGATCTAATCCATCCAAGGAAAAGCTCTATAAGAGTCATAATCGATAGAGATTGATAGCGGTTTCAATCGATGTCTTGATTGAGTTCATGAATAGATTATCTTTTTTCAATAAACATAGGTGTCTGCAACAAAGACCGATAATTCAATGTTCTTCTGGAGTTTCCTTTGGGAGTCTTCCAAAGCTATCACTTTGAGTGATCTAGACACAAACACCCCTTATCATTCAAGTCTCCCTTATTATTCAGTAGTCAACAGTACCAAGTAGAAGCATCACCTCGTATCCCGAGCCAGTGCGATGAGATCATTTGACGATCAGGCCAATCATGTGGAGATCTCCCAAACGGGGCTATACAGAGTATCGCTAAGCCGCTCGAACCGAGGCAGTGCTGCCGCCAGCGGAGCAAAACAGCCAAACAAATACAATAACGCCGGCCACGTTGCGCCCGACGTTCTGATACCGTGTCCAGTTCGTCAAGATCTGATTCAGTCTGATAACTAACTAGGTCTTGGTTCGATTCGTAATCCACCACCGCTACGTGACTCCTCTTTCAGATGACCCGCGGACCCGTGGTTGGGCCCGTGGTTTGTCGTTCTACTGCGGGGTCCCTTGGGGCAACCGGGCAGTTCTTGCCCCCCGCAATTGGCAAATGGCCAATACGATTATCACTTGTTCTCGCAAAGCTTGAGTTTGTTCGTCCGCAAGGCTTAGTTAGGCGGATTTCTAGTCGGCTTCTAGCGTCACTCTTCTGCTGGCTACTGCACTGCCTGAAGTGGCAGTGTGGATATTTATCGGCCCCAGGCCAACTCCGTCCGGGCGTTGCTGCCATGCTGTCTTATTATCTCCGAATTCACGCCCACTGGGTCGAGTATCTGCTGATCTTGCATAGCCAGGGTCCTTGATCTTATCGGGCGTCGGGGCCATTCCTGTAATTCACTGATCCGACGTCAGTCGCCCCTCGGACATTTGACTATAAAGCTCCCTCCGGGGCCCCAGGACTTCTCCAGAATTATCTGACTTGATCACAAATCTAACACATCAAAACACTACAACATCTCCATCTGGATACTATTCTTTGGTCTTCTGTGAACCGGCAACCATGGGGTCAATTGCGGACGAAAAGTCCAAGAGTGCACCCCTCAAGGATGTCGCTAATGGCGTTGAGGGATTCGAAAAGGCCTCCAAGGAGAGTCCGAAGCGCCCACCTTCATACAACCAGCCAGACGAGCCAGATTTGGTGGTTCAATTGCCTCAGCTCAAGCTCAAGGATGAAGACGTGCCACTCAGTGAGATAAACCAAACCGTCAGTCGCGACCAGGTCGTCGCCCATCTCAAGTTCCTTGCCGTTCTGGCAGATCTGCGGGACTTTGTCTCCAACAGTGACGGTCTTTTTGGTCTCTTTGACTCTGCCGCCAACGAGTACCCCGACTCGCTCAACGAAGCACGTGTTCGTATACGCGAGAAACGCTGGGCTGTGTATACGGCTCGCGCCGTTGATCGTTATCAGAAATGGTGGTCGGCTTGCCTTCCAATGTCCCGATCGGTTGTAACCATGCAAGACTTGAGCTCGTCTAGTTATGAAACGATCGTCGACTGCGATACCAAAGTTCTGTGGAGTGTAGAAAATATGCCCCCAATTGGTGAGTTCGCATTGAGGGTCTCCTCATTGTCAGCCACGTAACTAACAACTCCTGTCTAGATATATTGATGGTATGGCACTCCCATATGCTTAATCCGAGAGATTTTCTCGAAGACTGTATCCGATCTGGCAAGATGAGCACTTGGAAAACGGGCTTCCCCTTTGCTACTGTGAATGATTGCATCAATGATCGTACTTTGGAGTACACCGTGCCCGAGAAAACCAGATTGCTATTCCAGGAACGGCTCAAATTAAATTGGGACAACCTCCATGATCCACCCGGTAAGGATCTCGAATGTCCACGCTGCACCCAAATCAACACTGTCCTTTGGACTGAAGGGGGCATCGGTGAGTCGGCGAAGGAAGCCTTCAAGGATTGCACTGGTTTCGCCGATCGGTCATTCGCAACTACCTGCAAGCACTGCAAATGCCTTGTCAACCATGATCGCCTCAGAGTCGCCAAGTTCCGCAGCGATCTGATCGAGCTACTCAATGACAAGGTGCCGATGCCAGGGTCCATCTACAGTATCAACGGTATTCCCGAGGGCCCTTCCAAAGGAAAAACTCTGCTACTCCACCAATGCATGCTTTTCCCATCCCTGTTGATGGAGGCAATCGGGAGAGACTTGCTCGCTTTCACTGACCCCCGACTGGATCGGTGCAGGGACATCGATGGCCTTCGTAAGGAGCTTGAAATGAAGCTGCGCGACCGAAAGGTGGTAAGCAAAGCGCATCGTGCCTTCCGAAATAGCTCCATCGTCCGACCTGGTGAGAAAGTGCACGTCCGCCGCATGATGTCGCACTACTGGGAGAATTTCAGTCCCTTCGCGCTTGATCTCGTCGGTGCGGTGATCCGTCAGGGAACCTTTGTCCAGAAGATGGACAACATCGACTGGTTACACTCGCCCACGGTCATGGAAACCGCAGACCGTCTCATCAAAAAGTACACAGTCTTCTTCCAGATTATGTTTGACAACCCGTCGAAAATGGCCGTTCCTACGTTGGACGTTGATCTCGCCTGGCATACGCACCAGCTCCAACCAAGACGATACTACAAATACAGCACGCGGGAAAGACCCTACGCATTCCGCATCTTCTTCGACCACGACGACAAGGTCGACGAGAACAAACTCTCGGAAGCCTTCGAGTGGACAAACAAAATGTACCGCCGCGCCACAGATGGCGCTATCTACAGCGAATGCACCTGCTGGTACTGTGAGGCTACCCGCGCACCGGATCTATACGATCGCCTCTTCAACGTCGGCTCTGCCTCGCGAGCCCGCGATAACGCAGACACCCTCCACGATCGCGCGGATATATCCTCCGATCCGGACAAGAACCCGCATATATCCGCACACAACGCCGTACGACCATCGAGCCTTGCCGCCCAGGATCCCCGTATCGGCCAGCTCCAACGCATCCGTCTGCATCAGAACTATGAGAAATCTGTTCGGCGTGCTGAGAAGCGCGGCCGTGTCCGGTCTGATGCTCAGAAGAGCAAGAATGGCGGTTACGAGCCGTACTACTATGCGCCATATGTATGGGGTTATCCCGTCGTGGTGCCTTACTATGGTCCATACATGTGTGACCCGGGTATTAGTTCGGGCTCTTATGCTTGCAACCCGAGCTGTATGAATGTCAGTGCTGGGGCTGTAGGCAATTGTTGCTCGGGTACGTGCGGTGGTGGTGTGGCAGCTGGTTCTTGCGGTGGTGCAGGTGCGGTTGGTTGTGCTGGTGGTTCTGGAGCTGCTTGTGGAGGTGGTGGTGGTGGTGGTGGATGCGGAGGAGGAGGCGGCGGTGGTGGAGGTGGTTGTGGTGGTGGTGGAGGTGGTTAAAAAAACCCCTGAACCCCTGATGGTTGATTGTCTCCACGATGGATGCTTTTATGACTAAATACCCTTACTCGCTTTCCTTACGTTCTGTTGCATTGATTTTTTGCCCTTTTGCTCTGCCTTAGCTGTTTATGGTTGCGATATGGTACTCGATGTTAATGAATGAATATACATCATACAGGATGGCCTACGATGCTTCTTCAGATTCTTAGTCAATCAGAACTTAGAAGGGGTCAGTCTCTACAGCCTTTCCAAGGCAAACGAGCTGCGTAGCAATGCAGCCTTGAATAAAAAAAAATCCCAACTATTCTATTCCATGATATAAAGTGTATGCCGGATGATATTCCAATATCTAGGTATCTAACGAGGGTATCACGGTCTTCAAAGTCAGACACATGCAAACAAAACTACATGACAGTACACTTGTTTCGACGTTTTCGGCTCCGTTCCCGGATAGTCCGTTCGTTCCAGTCCTCAATACGCCTCCGCCACTCCTCATTCGCAGGCGGCGGCAAGCTATTTGGCTCCGTCGACACCCGCCGGCGGAATGATCTCTGTCTAGCGGGGATCTGGGCCTCTTCGTCTTCTTCGGTGAGATCTAAGGCGTTGCCGGACGGTTGGGGTATGTGGAGCAGATTCGGAGAAGACACGGAGTAGGAGAGGTAGTCTTCACCAAGGAGGGTTGCTCCTAGTGTGGCTTGCTCTTGCTGGGCGGGTTGTTCGGCGGGGTGGAGGGTTAGGGTTGGGAGGGGTTGGAGAGAGCGTAGGTGGTTGGTAGCGACTGGAAGATTGGGTATGGATGCGTTTCTCATATCGGATCGTATAGGCCAGGCATGATAGTTCTGGACTGTTGTATCGTGATTGGTGAGATATTGATGTGGTATGTGAGGTGCTTGCGATATGTCTGGATAGGTTCGCTCCAGGCTGGGGGTTTCTCCAGCGGCAGAAAAGGAATCTCTTCTACCTCTGCTAGAGCGTCTATTGCTAGCAATTGAACCAAGTCGTTGAAGGAAAGCAGATTGCGGACGAGGTCGATCCGACGAGGGTTGTCGGGCCACGCGAGCGGTTTGTGCTCGCTGAACAGGTTGAGCAGTTCCATTTGTTTGATTCTGGGCACTTACAGACCTGCTAGGAAGAAGTGCTGTCTGCAGATCTTCTGGCAGAGGTTGATCAGCTTCGCGAGTGTAAGGCGGTGGTGGCGGCACCCAATTATCTGCATCACTCTCGTGTGGAATTTGGCGACGACCGGAATTATTCCGATATCGCGGATCATAACGTCCTCGCGTGGATGCCGCAGCTGTAGCAGCCCGGTGAAGTGTGTCTTGCGAACGTGGCTGTGTATTATCATACGGGATATCGACCACGTCACCACGAGTTGGCCCGTCTGGAGATGTTGCAAGGGCAGAACTGCTTCGATTAAGATGTGAGAAAGCATGTTGACTTGCAGTGCGACGGTTCTCCCGTGTGATTGCATGCGAAGGTCGGTGAACGAGACCTGTCAAGCTTGTCGGGTCGGTATCTCCACGGTGCAATCGAGTTCTCCGTCTTTCCAACTCTACTTCAGTGTCTAGTGAAGAGTCTGGCTCTGTGAGCATGGCTGGAGCGGTCTCGCCTACTTCGATATCCAACTCAATCTCCTCGCCATTCGTAGTTGATCTCTCAAAATCCAAGATGAGTAGCCTCCCCCCATCCACCGGGATATCTTCTTCGCCGAGCGCTTGTGGGCGTACACCCCCAGGTGCCACAGCAACGAGCCGACGTCGTGGGTGGCTTGAAGCAGAACATCGCACCCAGCGAGCAGATGTGACTCCATGCATATCAGTGATGCGCCGACCGCGAATCAGTGCCTTTTTGGGTTGCTGAATGATCTTTTCCAGTTGAGCCCGGTTATCGCGGGGCACCAATTGTCCCTCACTATGATGATTCCCACAGAAATGGGAGTCATTGGCATCTTGTCCCTCGGGGATCGGTAGAGTCACATCAAGACGTGCGGGGACGCCATATATCCATATTTCAGAGTCTTGAAACCCTAGAGCAGCGAGTTCTCCGGCACTATCCGTAGACGGGGGCATAATGGGCAGCGTTTCTCGCAACTCGTCGGCCAAGAAGGGGCTGGCAAAGTATACACCGCCATAATCAACGTTGTTGACTTTGATTGCTCGGAAGGCTGCTAGGGCGCTGTCGTAACCAAGTATCCAGCTGTCATCCGCTTCCTCGTGACCGTTTATGAGACAAGCGTGAGTAAAGTTAGGAGTGGTCTCTGGAAAAAGAATCTGTGCTGTCCACATGCGCATTTGGAGCTCCTGTGGCGATGCATCTATTCCTATGTCCGTGTAAAAGGGAGCTGTAATGGTGACGATGCCACCCTGGTCGTTGCCAACGGGCGACCCAAGCAACATAGTACCATCTCGGGAGAAAGATAGTGCATCAACACGAGGACAGCGCGCCGCTCGGCGTTCCGTCGACAGAACCTCTTCTCCCACTGCATACACCTCAATGCAGTCTTCAAAGGACAGAGCTAGGACACTTCCCATAGGCGAAAATGTCAAGTCTCTAGGTGAATCATTCAAGGTAATCGTTTGGAAATGCTTGACCTCGTCGTTCAAGAGTCGATAAATATTGACCCTATGCGTGGAGGATAAAACGGCAAGGAGGGAACCATCGTCTTGGATTGTTGCACCTAGAGGCCGCCGGCGAGTCTGCAATTCGTATCTTACAGCGACCGGTTCTTTGGTCACATCTAGTACGACGATCCGAGATGAACTAATACAGAGCACCAGTTGACCGTATGCCGAGAAGGAAAAGCGAAACACCTCGCCTTGGGGGAACGCGGTGGATGAGCTCATAGAACTGGATATCAATCGAACAAGGGTGCGACGAGGTCGCAAAAAGACATCAAAGGCATTGCGCCTGGTCTCCTCTAGGAATTGGCGTTTGAGGTCTGCCAGACCGTCGGTCTCGCTCGGTGCGGGGGTTGCCCCTCTTGTCCATGTAAAAGACGGACATTTCGATAATTGGTAAGCATACAGTGACGACGACTCTGATATCCGCCTCCATTGTCGGTTCAGTAGAGCCAAAGATGCAAAGACGTTGGCATCGGCGACATAAAGAATGCTACGTGGAGCCGTGTTAGGCGTGCTGAATGCCACATGGCCTTGGGGGGGAATCTCGAGGTAGGGGATGCAATTCATCCACAACAAAAGCGCACTTACTGTTCGATTACATTTGGAGGCAGCCGATCAAAGGCACCAGTCTCTCTCGGGGTCGAGGCCTCCTCCTCCATGATCACCAACGGTTCCCGACATGCGGAATTGGCGCTGGCGGCCAAGTTGGAGGTGCTTCTCCTTTGGACTTGGAGAGTGGCTGTGCTCAGCCCCAACCTCTCTCCTTCATAACGCCCGTCGCGTCGATCGCCCTTCCATAAATAGCAGGCACGTGGTGCTGACTCAGGATTCCCCGCATTCAGCCTAGTCTCGTTTTTTTCTCTTCTCCGACTCTCCGACTGCGGGAACGAGTCTGGAGGCGAGTTCAATTGGTTCTTTCCCGACTCACATTACAACCTCTACTTTCCCCCCCGAACACTCAATCACCAACAGGTCGCGTGACAATGTGGACTTTACAGAGCACACCATGAAGTGTAATGCGCTCTGACCCACGGTAGTGCTAACGTCCCTCGATTGTGCTCCAGGCTCGTCGCATTCGGCCGGGTTATACCCCTCATTTTGACCAACTGAGATCGGCCGACTCCGAAAAGTCCCCGGAATCTTTTCCCCAGACCGTTTCCCACACCCACTCAATTCTACCCTCCTGCCGGTGCCTCGTTCTCGGGTTTGCGCATCATGTCGCCTGCAACCCTTCAAGTCAATCCTAGTTCGAAGCTACCGTCGCCCGGGTTCAACGCCGGTGCGCGACCTTACCGATCCCACAAGGTCCGCGCATGCGACCTGTGTCGCAAGCGCAAGTCCCGATGCACGGTCGATATCCCGGGCCAATCCTGCCTCCTATGTCGCGTACAGGGGGCAGACTGTCATTACCAAGAGGAGCCCAATCCGGACTCCTCGGTTTTGAGCACAACAGAAACCAAGCCGTGGTCGGGAGCGCCGCCGGCTGAACCCTTGTCGGGACAGAAGCGCAAGCGCAGCCCTGAGAGGCTTCCTGAGAGGCTTCCTGTCTCGCGTCAGTCCACCAATGGACCTAGTCCACAAGCCACAACTTCCTCTGGTCGCCGTGGTAGTGATGCACGACGCAAAGATGACGACCCGCACAATGAGTCAGTCCTCATTGTCGGGCCTATGGTTGCGGAGGATGCGCAGGTCATTGAACAACATATGCCCCCTGAGCGGTCGAGTCTATCCGAAGAACCCAATAGCCACCCATACAATATCTACTCGAGCGATCCTCGGAAGCCCGTGCTTTATACCACAATCTCACGACGGAGGAAGGGTATGCGCCGGGGAGTTCCGCCTGGTGAAAACCAGAGAGAGATTTTGGAGCAAATTCTGGGTCCTTTCAAGCACGACCTTGTCAAACTGTAAGCATTGTGTTAGCAGAGGCGTTGAGTGACGTTTTGCGGAGTACTGATCACGTTACTTTTCATAGCTTCATCGACCGATTCAACGTTGCATTCCCGATATTTGACGGCGAACAATTCTGGGAGTCTTATATCACAGAAGGACTTGAAGATCCCCCAGCGTCGCTGATCTGCCAAGTATATTCAATGTCACTCGTGTATTGGAAACATACCCAAAAGCTCTCATGTCATCCAAAGCCCGACGTTCGATACGCCGTCAACATGACGGTGGCTGCTTTGCACGAGGAGTTTTCTGCACCTGGGCTGTCCACGATCAGCGCGGCATTGATTGACTTAACGGGAAGACCCATTTTCTCCATGACTGGAAACGCGATCAGCTGTGGACGTATGTTGTCTTTGGCCAACTGTCTCGGGTTGAACCGCGACCCAAGCCATTGGAAACTCTCGCAACAAGAAAAAGATCAGAGAGTACGTCTTTGGTGGGGTGTAGTAATTCATGATCGCTGGTAAGTCACTCTGCGTAACCATGTACCACCAATGATCAACCTCTTACCGGTTTTTACAGGGGAAGCTTTGGTCACGGTGTACCGCCACAGATCGCCAAAAGTCAATACGACGTACCCCTGCCTACAGTTGACAGCCTCGTTCCTCCAAATCTTCGTACGACCGAGCGCGTGAGAGCCGCCCACTGCCATATCTTCTTATGCAAGCTGACCGAGATTCTCGGCGAACTATTGCCTTTGGTCTACGGCTTGCAGGCCAAACCCGCACGCGAAAGCTCCAAGAAGATCCGACAAATCCGGACGGATCTGGATATGTGGGAGGACTCTCTTCCTGACTGGTTGCGATCACCAATCAATAACCGCGGGGAGCAACTGTCAGCTTCCAGCAGCTTACAACTCGCTTTCTTGGCAGTCAAGATGCTTGTCAGCCGAGTGGAATTGAATGTAAGATCCTGCTTTCTACAAATGCACTTTCAATCGCTTACTAACTGGTTGAATTTAGGAGGTCAACAACGCTGATACCGATAACCCCGAGGCTCGTCGCTATTTCCAAACCGAATGCCGCAGATCCGCAGAAGAGATAGTGCGCTTCATTACCTCGTTGCGAAAGGATAATTTCAAAGAATTTTGGCTGCCATGTACGTGCCCTATAATATCTCAACGAACCCTTTGTAACGGACTCTGACATTTTCCAAAGACAGCGCCTTCCACTTAACGTCCACGGCCACCCTCCTGGTCCGCTGCGCCCTCGAAACGAACGACACCGAAGTAGCCCGGTCCTGTCTTGCCAACGTGGAAACCCTGCGCAACGTTTTACGACGCGTTCGTGAAGAGGAAGACTGGGATGTAGCTGACATGTGTCTGGATCACTGCGAACGAATCATGCACCGACTCCCTGGTACCGGTGCCTCCATCGACCAGCCGCTTACTGCAGCGGCAATGACTGATAATGGACTGGTCAACCCAGCTGCGATTTCACTGCCCGAGACACAAACCAATAACGATATTGTGGATGATATGATGTCTATTTCGAATACGTTCGGCACAATGGATGGTTTCCCCTTCGATATGACAGGTATCTGGGATGTTTCCGTATTCCAGGATGTCAATCTGCACGAGGGATGAGAGAACATGTACTTAACGTTGCACTTTTTTTTGGTTTCCACGGGCTTGTTCATACTCCTGAGTCTGTTTAGAGTTTGTTTCGCGTCTACAAGGGCAGGCAGGGGGGGTGTACTTTAGATGGCCCATTTTCTCGCAGTATATATACCCAAAAGGTCCACTTTCAACTTGGACCGTGCAAATAAAGGATAATATCAGTCTATCAGAGTCTCAAGTTTCTTTTTGTCATATTAGTGCATTTGAACCAAATTTTGTACATGGAGAATCAAGAAACAAGAGAAAGAATCAGACTCCCCAAAGCGCTATTTTACAATCGTTCCAAAGATGAGGGAATGCTCAGAACGAACCCCAAGAAAACCATCTAAATGACCTGCCCCTTGCCCGCCAATGACAAAAACAAACCCCAGAGATGATGAGTCGGGAAGGAAATAAAAAGAGCGGAAGATTCGAGAGTATAAGAAGTCTGCCGCAGGTGATTGAAGGGGGCAAGAGGTTTACTCCTTGCTAGAACCCATCCCGAAGATACCGGTGAAAGAGCCCTTCATGCTGTTCATCTGCTCCTGACGAGCCTTCTCCTCTTCGGCGGCCATTTCGGCCAGCCACTTCTCGCCGTTCTCGCGGATCTCACGGTCAATCATCTCGTAGTTCTTCTGACCACGCTCGCGGATCTGATCCCAGAGCATCTTGCCCTGAGCGAGACCCTCCGAAGGCGACTGCTCGCCATCAATTGCACGGCTGGACTTCAGGCCAAGAGCGGAGGCAAGGCTGCCCATGCCAATGGAGGGCTTCTTCTTCTGCTCTTCGGCGAGCTCCTTTTCGAAGCGCTCACGCATGGCTTTCTCACGCTTGGTGAACTCCACGGGGATGCTGGTACCCTCGAACGACTTGAGGACGGGGCGAACATCCTCTACGCCCATACCGGCAAGGTACTCCAGGAACGGGATCAGGGCAACAAGTGTCTTGTCCTGAGCATCACCGGTCCACTTGTCCAGAATGATGGCGTTCTCGGGCTGCAGGCGGGCGTGCTCCTCCTTGGTGTCAATCAGAATGACCTTGGATAGGTCACGGTTCAGATAAGACAGATCCTAGTTGGAGATACAGGTCAGACGAAAGCAATTGAAAGAACAATATAGGGATATTATCATACCTTGATGTACTCGCCGTCCTTGTAGCGAGTAGCCTCACGGAAGAGGGGCCAGCGGATGATGCGGTAAGGATCGAGTTTCCGGAGAACCTGGTCGGCCATCATACTGGGAACACTGGTGAACAGAACGAGCTCGTAGTACTGATTCAGGTAGCGGAGGAAGTAGTCGACACCAGGACGCTTCGCAACACGCCATCCGTGCTCGCGGCTCCACTCGCTGTGAACGAGGAGATCCTCCAAAGAGAGAACCAGGGTGTAAGGCTGGCGCATGTTGGGGTCCTCATCGGGGAGCAACTTAGGGAACGCGGGATCCTTGTAGTAGCTGGTGAGGTCGCCCGTACGGGCCTTGATACGACCCCACCAAAGGCCGGGGCTCCAGCCGGATGGTGTTGCTGTATGAGCACGCTCTTCCTCCTCGGTCTCCCAATTGCGGCCCAGGTAACCCATGCCCGCAATACCAGCAGCCAGCATCACGGCGTACATAATGTTGGCCATACGGGCCTTGCGGCGGTCAAGAGAGGTCTCGTATCCGCCCTTGGGAATATCACCACCACTACGGCCAGCGCCATCCTCGCTGTAATCTTCCGTTCGGGTGTGATCCTCTGTGATGTTCAGAGGTCCCTTCCTCTGGCGTGCTTCGAGCTCTGCGGCCAACGTCGACGGGATACCCTGGGTCAGGTCGGGGAGGGGCTTCTGGGGGATCTGTTCCGCTTCAGGCTACATGGAATAATTAGTCAGTAAGATGAGTTCTTCCAATTCATGGTGGGTGATTTGAGATCGATAGCTTACAGCGATGGGAGACTCGGCGGCTTCGGTCTCAGGCTTGGCCTGTGATTTAGACTCGGGTTGCTCTGCAGGAGTCTGATTCTTCGCAGCCTTGGGCTTCTTTGACTGAGGCTCTTTTGCCTGCAGCGACTCCGGGAGTGTATACGGAGTGCTGTCCTTGCCCTTTGCGTACCACCGGGGTCGCTGAGCGGACAGAGCGGACACTCGGACGGTCGACGCGAGGACGTTGCGCCTGGCAAGAGGCAGCACAGCACGGCTCAACATGACGGATGGTAGTAAATATGAAATTAAAGATAGACAAGGAACAGTGCACTCATGCCCTTGCACTTAGCTTGGGGAAGATCACGCCCTCGGCTTCGGGACGAGTTTCCCGTAGAAAAGTCGGCGCGCGGTGTGAATCGGGCGGAGCATACGAACCAACTATGCAGTTCCTTTTTATTTCGCCCCGGTTTCGCGCTGACGTCTTTTCTTCTTTTCTTCTCCATGAAAGTTGTACCCAGGCATTAATTTGACCCTGCACGCGCTCTTTCACGCATGTCGGGTTGTATTAGCTGGGGAGACCAAGGAAGTTCCTCTTCTGAATCCCACTTCCAAGAGCCGCAGCGAAGGCATCCTCTGATGCTGTAGCTCCGTACGTGGGTGACATTCCTTCTCTAATTGTTGATTTTGTTGAAATCGGTTCTACCGAGTGACGAGGATAGTCTCCATACTCTTTGCCCGAAAACCCAAAAGCCAAATTACAAGTCATGCCAACCTTCAGTTAATGCTGAATGAGTCTATGAGAACTATGAAAACCGAGTCCCATTCCTAGTCCCGTGCCGTGTACATTGTTACTTATAGACTTTCCCCCTCGCCACCTCAACCTTGGAACCTTCCGTTCCTCACCATGCGGCTCAAAAAATCACAAAGGGCCGAGTTCTTCGAGGACGACGGTCTCGTCCCCCAAGAGCCCGCACCAGCGCGACTTCCATCGAAACCTTTTCGACTCCTTGATTTACCGTCCGAGATTCGAGAGCGCATCTACCATTTCGCCCTGTTCACTCCGGCGCGGAAGAGCGCCCTGAAGAAGAATGGCACCGTGGGCGCTTCCGCAAAGAAAAGCAAAGCGTTCTCCCCAACGGCACAGCGCATCGCGTTATTCTTGACTTCGCGTCGCATTCACGATGAGGCCAGCTATTACTTTTACTCGACGCAAATTTTTCGGGTCTTCCCAGTCCAGGACTTTGCCCGCATGCCGACCGTCCGTCAACTGCCTCGTCGCCACCGCTCCTCTGTGACTACAATCGAGTTGATTCTGGGAAATAGCTGGACTGCGCCACCGAAAACATGGACGGTCAACCAGGGCTTGGGTCTGCACGACATGGTCCTCACGCGCACGCTGAGGGTGTTTATTGAATGCGATCCCTCGCAGCCGATCTTTGAGGGTTTCCGTGTCTCCAAGGAATACTACACCGAATTTGCAGGGCGACTGATGCGACAGATCTTGGAACGACTGCCAGGTCTGGTCCAGGTCGAATTCGACGCTTACCCGTCAGTCCATAAAAATGGGTCTTTGATGACCCGGTTATTGCAAGAGACTCGACATTTCCAGAAGAGAGTTCTATGGGGCCCAGAGAGAGGCTGGGTAGATGGGGAAGACGACTACGACGATCCGGAGGAGGACCCGACAGATGCGGCTATAGATGGCCTGCGTGCCTCTCATCCCGGGGTTGATGTTTTGGCCGACTCGTTGCAGCTCGTGAGTTTGGAAACGGAAACGGTGGCTGCTTAAGACTACACTGATGTGATAGACGTGATCATGATTTGGGATACAGTACATCGCGCGGCGTTATAGACTTGCTTTGTTGTTTAGATTAGACATAGAAGTCACATGCTTCATTCCTACCTCAAGGTCTTCGCCAGTAGGCTCCGCTGTAGGCCCGGGCCTATCACTTAAGGCTGCCTGGGAATCTGCCTCAATTGTCTCGTTGTCTCACTTTAGACAGACGTGCCGAATTGTGACTCCAAAGTTGCCTGATTCTTATTGCCGACGCGTACGTACTGCAGACAGATGTGGGTTGATGGGGCAAAACGAGGATAAAAAACAATGATTCATAATTAGAGTGTTTTCATAGGTTTGATGCGCCATCTAACCCTCTAGAGTTCCTCATCCACCTCCATGGAGGCACCGTTACCACAATCCTTGCTTGTTGACTGCCGAGCAACGGATGCTTCCTTGTCGATCATCTGTCTAGATACAGCAACGATATTGTCCTCGATCAATTGCTGGCTCACGTCTTCGATGTCTGTGGAGGGGAATTAGTATTGAGGACTGCATAGTAGCGGTGTTTCAACCCGAATCTTAGAGTAGACATACGCTTCTTAGGATCAACCTTGCCCACATATCTCGTCTTCAATTGGTCCTTGGTGAGCTCGGTCTCCTCCTTGACCCGCTTCTCGTAGCCTTCAGCAAGGCTGACGAGCTGCTTCATCTGCTCCACATTGTGCTTGCCCTCCTCGTGGAAGTCGTTCATCTGCAAGGCTTCGGTCCACACATGCTTGTGCAAGTTCATGAGCATGTTCTCCTCCAGCCCCGTCTTCCGGTAGTTGATGGCAATGCTGTAGTAGTGGCGGTTAAGACCGTGAATGAGGGCCTGGATCGAGGGCTTGTTCAAGTGACCCAAGTTTGACGTTGTCTGGCGGGGCTCCTGGCCCATGACGACAGTCTGGGGTTGAATAAGACGGAAAGCGTCAATGACGACCTTGCCCTTCACTGACTGGATGGGATCCACGACAACGGCGACGGCACGGGGGGTGAGCTGCTCAAAGGACTGTTGAGTGTTGATATCGACGGAGGAAAGCCAGCAGCCGAAACCAGGGTGGGAGTGATACCAGCCAACGACGGTCTCTGGTCTGTTCAAGACGGTTTATGTTAGTGCGGCTCCTTGGTATTCGGGCAGTAGAGTTGGTGATTAGCCTACCGTCCAGTTTGTCGGAGCATCTCCATCATCTTGGTTTGGAACACGGGGTCCACGGCCTCGACACTGACGCCGGTACCACTCTGAGGCATTGCAAATACGTCCACCACACGAACTGTATATTCATCGACGAACTCTCCCAGCATCAGACCCATGACTTCCATCGGCACACCAGCACGGCCGTGTCGCAGCATCTTCAACAACGCAAGGGAGGAAATATGGACGGTTTCAGAGTTATCGATCAGGTTTGGCGTGTCCTACAGCACAACACTGTTAGATCTTGGTCTCGAAGCTAATGTCATCGTCGAAAGGTAGCTTATTAATGCGGGCGCAGAAGCTTGAATGAAGAGGAACACAATGGCGACAACGAGGCCGCCACCATCATGACTTACACCACCGGGGGCACCTCCTCCCATACCAATGCCTTGAGCGGCCTGTAGCATTCGGTTAATGCGATCCATGATGGCTGAAAGCAACTAAGCGAGTTGCAAGGAGAGAGAGAGATGTGAGTGATTGATAGCTTCCCGAGTGGAAGCTTCTGGGAAGTCGGAAGGGCTCAAACGACGTGAATGAATCTATACCGTCGAGAAAGTTATCCAAAACAATGAACGAGATCAATGTTATTAGAAGATGAAAATGGCTTAAGCAACCGTTCGAGTGAGCAGGGAAGTGTTCGCGTGGTGTTTCGTTGGTGATCCAGGCGGCTCCCGGAGCTTCAACTGACGAAGGCGGTCTGGGCTTCTGCCGGCTATGGTGCCTTCCCACGCCGCGATTGATTCTCTCTCAAGCCTCCCGTCTCTGCCTTCAGCGCCATGAGCATGACAATTCTTGCCTGCTGCTGTGCCTAGCTTCGTTTTCTACACCTTTATGAGGTCTCTGGTGCTCTGGGTTGTCTACCTCCCCGTGCCCTCGGCTATAAAAACACCACCCCCATTGCTTCCTTTACTCCGCATACTTCCTCTCCTACCGTCTTCTTGATTGAGATACTCCCATACCTGCCCGCGCTTTCGCCCAACCTCTCGTCAACCAACACGCAAGATGGCGGCCGAGCCCGTGTCTAATGGGTCTGGGGCCAACAAAAAGAAGGTTGCTTACTTCTACGACTCTGATGTGGGCAATTACGCCTATGTTTCTGGCCACCCGATGAAGCCTCATCGCATTCGCATGACCCACAGCTTGGTCATGAACTACGGCCTGTACAAGAAGATGGAGATCTACGTATGGTTTACCTCTTCCTATGACGGCTGACTGAATATAACTTCCCGTTACTGACGCGCAAAAATTCTACAGCGTGCGAAGCCAGCTTCGAAGTACGAGATGACCCAGTTCCACACCGATGAATACATCGATTTCCTATCAAAAGTGACGCCCGACAACATGGATCAGTTCTCAAAGGAGCAAAGTCGTTACAACGTCGGTGACGACTGCCCGGTGTTCGACGGTCTCTTCGAATTCTGCGGTATCAGTGCTGGTGGTTCTATGGAGGGCGCCGCCCGGTTAAACCGAGGGAAGTGCGATGTTGCTGTCAACTGGGCTGGTGGTCTTCATCACGCAAAGAAGAGTGAAGCCAGTGGTTTCTGCTACGTTAATGGTAAGAGGTGATCGCCTTTCATCCTAATTCACTTGGGCGCCACCTAACCTTTGGCCTCACCAGACATCGTCCTCGGTATCCTCGAGCTGCTCCGGTTCAAGCAGCGCGTTCTCTACGTTGACATCGACGTTCACCATGGTGACGGTGTCGAAGAAGCATTCTACACCACGGACCGCGTCATGACTGTCTCGTTCCACAAGTACGGCGAGTACTTCCCCGGTACTGGTGAACTTCGTGATATCGGTGTCGGCTCGGGCAAGTACTACGCCGTCAATTTCCCCCTCCGTGACGGCATCAACGATGCTTCCTACCAGAGCATCTTCGAGCCCGTGATCAAGAGCGTCATGGAGTGGTACCGTCCGGAGGCGGTTGTCCTCCAGTGCGGTGGCGATAGTTTGTCGGGCGACCGTCTCGGTTGCTTCAACCTCAGTATGCGCGGGCATGCCAACTGCGTGAACTTCATCAAGAGTTTCGACTTGCCGACTCTGATTCTCGGAGGTGGTGGTTACACTATGCGCAACGTCGCACGCACTTGGGCCTACGAAACTGGTATCCTGGTTGGAGATAACCTTGACTCTGAGTTGCCCTACAATGACTACTATGAGGTGAGACCTTTCTAAGCCAACGGCTGATCAACTTAAACTCAGCATACTAATGATTCTCACTAGTACTTTGCCCCCGATTACGAGCTGGATGTCCGTCCCTCGAACATGGATAATGCCAACACGAAGGATTATCTGGACAAGATTCGCAACCAGGTCGTAGAGAATCTCAAGCGCACAGCTTTTGCCCCGTCTGTTCAGATGACGGATGTCCCTCGTAACCCGATCCTTGATGGTATGGATGACGACGCTGACGATGTCCTGGACGACCTGGATGAAGACGAGAACAAGGACAAGCGATTCACCCAGCGCCGGTTCGACCAGTACGTGGAGAAGCCCGGTGAACTCAGCGACAGCGAGGATGAGGAAGAGAATGCCGCCAATGGCGTTCGCCGCCAGCCCGGTGTTATTCGTCGCCGGAACCAAGCCAACTACAGGAATATTGATGCCGCAGACTCCGGTCTCGACAGCGGCATGGCTACTCCGCTGGACGCATCCTCGATCGCCGACAATGAAATAGATGCCGCTCTGGACGCAGGGTTGACAGACGTCCCAATGACCGAATCGGGCGCTGTTACCGGCGCCGAAGGCCAGGATACTCCCATGGCAGACTCCGAACGGATGGTTGTCGAGGGGGAGGATAAGGGTACTTCGGCTGCCGTGTCTCAGCAAACTTCCCCTCCCACGCAAGATGAGGACACCGCCATGGAAGATGCCAGTGCAGTTGCCGAAGAGGCTGAGTTACCAGAAGCTCTCGATGCACAGGATGAAAAGAAGCCCGAGGTGACATCTGCCACTGAGGAGACAACCAACGCACCCCCGTCTCCCTCTGAGGTACAGCCGGTGTCGGAGGCGTCTTCCATTCCCGCCGCCGATACTTCTGCGCCAGATGCTGCGCCCGTTGGCGAATCCGAGAATGCGAAGTCAGCCTCGGGAGTGGCTACTGATGAGTCGACAAAGAAGGAGGAGTGAACATTCTGTGATACAAAGACATCAACAGTGGGTCTAGGCGCAACGGACAATGGGCAGAAAGGTGTTATCGGTTTGTCAGCATGCACGTATCGTGTTCGGCCGTGGAGGCATCGTCAAGTCTTTCATCATACATGAATGGCGGAAAGCCCTGATATGGATGTCGATGAGTCCGTCTCTTTGGTCGAATGTGATCAGATAGATTCATGAGGCTCATACCCGATACTTTCCTGGAGTACGTCGATCTGAATGGCTCGGAAGGAATCGGGTTTAGTCTCTTTAATCGTGTCTGCTTTTCTTTCTCTTTTTCTAATTGATTCTATTTATGATTCCATCTGTATAAGCGCATGAATGAAAGCTTTTGATCTAATTCTTAGTACGGAGACATGGGGCGAGGATAGTCTGTTCGTTCATTTGTCCGTCTTGTTCAGGTGGACTAAGAAATCCGTATGAGCGCCTTACTTCTCCAGTCTAGCCATCAATCGAATTTAAATATTAGATTATGATCTAGCTCGCCTGAGGGGATTCGTTATAAAGTGATCGCGTCTTCTTCGAGTATGTACTCCATGCCAAGTACCTTCCACGTGACCGTTGAAGGTCCCGATGAGCTAATCCCTTTGGTTCTTTTCCAAAAGCGGCCTAGCGCTAGGGCAACCCCATCTCACCAATCGGGGCGGCGCCAAGATTTTCCTCATCCACCAGCGCACTAAGCGAGACGAGAAAGCACTGTGGACGTTTCTTCGACTTCCGACCTGACCTTCCGTCGCCAACCCTTTTCGCCCATCCCGACAACCCCGATACTCAGCCATCATGTCTAAGAGAGGGTAAGTCTGACTGCCCTGCATTCGAATCAAAAGCATCAAAAAAAACCACCTGGGAGAGTTTTCGCGGAGGATCTCGACGACCGAATATGCAACATCTTCAATATCGAACATCTCAGCCTGGGAGGGGAAATCTTTGGACGCCGCGACTCGGATGCAACACCACGGAGAGAATGAACGGAATAACTGACTTGAATTAAATAGTCGTGGCGGTGCCGCCGGCAACAAGCTGAAGATGACCCTCGGTCTGCCTGTGTACGTGTTTCACCTTGAAGATTTTCCCGTGTCCCTCGCCGTGTCCCTCGTCCAGTGAAGCTTCGACAACCCGTCAATTGCCAGTCGCCATGGTCGAACCGATTCGACGCCAGCTCGCCGACACCCACTGAACCCCCGACCTTGAAATTTTCGAACATGACCAAACCACGACGAATTGGCATTGGCGGGGAAAATTATCGAAATCATTGGGCGAGGATACACAACATGGGGAAACTCACTGCTTCGAACTCAGCAACGCAATGGAAAACTAACGGTCTCGTTTCTCTCGAACAGCGGCGCCGTGATGAACTGCTGCGACAACTCCGGTGCTCGCAACCTGTACATCATTGCCGTCTGCGGTATTGGTGCCCGCCTGAACCGTCTCCCCGCTGCCGGTGTCGGTGACATGGTCATGGCCACCGTCAAGAAGGGAAAGCCCGAGCTCCGCAAGAAGGTCATGCCCGCCGTTGTCGTCCGCCAGTCCAAGCCCTGGCGCCGGGCTGACGGTATCTACCTGTACTTCGAGGACAACGCTGGTGTTGTAAGTGGCCGATCCTTTTCTTCCACTCGGGGGTGACGGAGGTGTGGAAGTGTCTGTGAAGAGACATGATTCAAGACGATTACTGAGGATCGATTGGAATTGTCTCTTGCCGCATACTCTCTACACCCGTCTTCTTCCCTCCGTCAAGTTTCTGCTTGTCAAGATACTAATATTCTGCTCTACAGATCGTCAACGCCAAGGGCGAGATGAAGGGATCCGCCATCACCGGTCCTGTCGGTAAGGAGGCTGCTGAGCTTTGGCCCCGTATTGCCTCCAACTCCGGTGTCGTCATGTAAAGAGAGCAGTGAAAACCGAATAAAACAACAAAATTTCAACGATACCAAAACCTGACTCCTTGGGACCTGGGAATAACGGGGTGCATTCATGGCATTATTGTGGAGAGACGGAGAGGCCAAAAAAAGGCAGGGAGAAAGGTCCATCTAACGTGACGAGTTCCACCTATGTTATTTCGAGCCGGTCTTTCTGTATCCTCCCCATTCGTGTTTTTTTCTCTTTGAACACTGGCGAATCGAGGGAGTATACTGAAAAAATACTACCTTTTTCATGACAACTTCCGGTTTCTTTCGTATGAATGTGCTCTTGCTTGCTCAGGGTGCTACGCTTGCGCTCGTGCATGTACGCTCATGGTCTTGGGTTTTTTTACGAATTCTTTTGGCTTATGGCTTGATTATCATCCTCGTAGGACGTAGTTGTAGTTCCACGCAAGACGGATGGGAAGCGTCAGGGCAGACCATCCCGGCTTTACCACTATATCCGGTACTTCGAGCTTTGCTAAGAGGTCTCATACGGGCTGAACTCTACCTGGGTTTGATTTGTTTATAGATAGTTTACAAAGTTCACCGGCTGCTCTGGCACCCTCAAATCATCTTCAAATGGTACTGTACACTAGATGCAAATATACATGACATCTCAGCCAATCTATCTATCTATCTATTATCACTTCAATTCATCACGAGCCTTGCCCGGCGTCCGTCCCCCAGAGACCTCCTCAATGGGCTCCTTGCCGTTTGATTTCGACGTACCCAACCACGTTGTCTTGCTCGTCTCGAGCTCATTAGTCTCCAGTGCCCGAATAATCAATACCAGTAGTCCAACAGTCCCGGTCACCAAGATGAGCGCATGTACAGCCCACCAGAAATGCTGTACACCAGCCGGGCACATTGTAATTTCGTAATTCCATTCGCCGACATTGGCATCAAACCAAGCGGAGAGCAGACCGGCGTTTCCTCCAAATTCGCCCATCATAGCGCGTAGTGTCACCTCGCGGATCGAGGGGGTAGTTGGCTTTTCCGGTCTGTATTTGTTGAACCGTTTGGCAGCCCACTTCCACCCTTGGCTTCGAGAAGGGTCCTCGGGTTCACCGGTTGTCTCGCCTGGTGCATCGGTAGTCCGGTTGATGTAATGGATGACATCGCAACCGGTGTGATCATGGCCCGTGAGGATCAGTCCGTTCCGGCCATACCCCCCATGAGCAGCGCTCTCGTCGCCGCTCAACCCGAAAATCCCCTGCAAGATCCCGCTAGCACTGATATGATCACTGAGGTGGTTCTGTTCTCTCAGACCACCAGCCTTCCACCGAGGGACGCCATCCGGTCCATCGCTGTCGTCCTCATCCTGGAACGTAAAATATGGACCATCGGTGCAAATTCCGTCTTCCTTGTGCATCGGCAAGTGTGTAAGCAGCAAAGTGAAACTTGAGCGGTCCTCAACTGAGTAAAGACGCTCACTGATCAAGTCGTTCAAGTACGAATAGCTGCGGGTCTGCAGGTCCTCGGACAATGCAGGCGTATCGAAGAGAAGAGTATTCAAATTGATGAGGTGCAACGTGGGCGTGACAACTGACCCATCAGATGCATTACCTCCGCGCGAAAGTGGAGGATGCTGGAAGCGAATGTCCCAGTCGGCGCGGCCAAACTCGCGCTCGAAACGCTCCATTCGCGCCTTGCTCACGTCGCCTGCGTACCCGATATCGTGATTCCCGGCGACATTGATGATGCGCCTCGGCCAAGCAGGGTCTGCCTCTGAACCCAGAGGCTCTAATTGCTGCTTGGCATGGCCTTGGTTGCCGCCTACGCCCCCGGTCCAGGTAATGTTGTCGTTGACGCGCTCTGCCCCACGGAAAACCCGCGTCCAGTATCGCGTACTGCGCCGCGAAAACTCATCATCGCCAATCCACTGGCTGCCCAGAAGATCTCCCAGCACCGTTGTATGCGTCGGTCGAGTCCACGAGAACATCGTGCGATATATATGCGCGAGATAGTAGTCGTTACCGAACAGGTCTACCTGCTTGCGGGTTGCACGAAAGGATCGGGGTATATCCTCGGTAGCGAACGTCTTCAGCCCAGATTGAATCTGGTCGATGACATTCTGGTCCAGGAGTGCCTTGGGGAGGGACGTCGTCGTCGAGGCCTCGGCCACTGCTTCCCGGACAGCGCGCCAGTGCGTGCGCATGCGCGGAACGAGCTTCCATTCGGGCAACGGTAGCGACGAGTCGCCTTCAAGCTGCGGGTCTGCGAGAACTAGCAGTCTAAAAATGGCGGGTTGATTGTCCGCCGCAGCGTCCGGGGTGCGGAGGTGTTGGAGGAAGGTATTGACGACGACATTCCGCTGCAGACTGGAGAAGATCGAGGTGCTGCCGGCGCTTTCCGATTGGACTCGAGGCAGGGGAAAGCCGCAGCCATTGAAGACGGGGTAGAGGTAAAGGTAGACAGAGGCTGCGAGGGTGAGCGGGAGGAGGAGCGTAAACACGCGGCTGAGTAGCGCGCGGAGGAACATGAGGGTCGTGGGTCGGGTGTATTAAAGATGCCTATGAATGAATAATATACAGCATAATGAATGTAAGATCGAAGGAGGGCGACTGCGACAGGGGCACAGATTGGCGTAGGTGGAGGACGATCAAGGGTGATAGATAAATTGCGGAAAGCTTCCCCGAACTGCAGCCCGCCCCAGGCACAGGTGGGCTCCGGCCAGTACTGCAGGGTTGGCCCCCACTTCGAGAGTGGAAAGCATCAAGCATGAACATGATGGAAACCTTAGACTTCAAATTCCGCTTTGATTTCTCCGTACCAGTGAATTGTGAGGGTACTTTCTCTTGGTCAAGAGTATACTGTAGGTAGTTGTCAACTATTCACGAGGAGGTCAAGTCTACGTGTGGATAAGGGTCCCCCGCTTTACCAAAATATATAATTTAGAAACTTCCACAATCAAGAACACCCCAGCCTATAGTCAGATAGATCGTGCTGAAGTAAGCTCTACGTGTAACAAACCTCCTGCTGTACTCCTTGAAAAGAACTACAACTTCTACAAAGACGGCGCGAATCTACACACCTGGGCAGTGACACACAAGATAAGAATAGAGCCAAGATATTAGAATTATCTACAAATCCACGAGTAATCGTATATAGGAGAAAGATAGTCCAAGATAGAGCCACGAAGATCCACATCTCGCAAATCGTTCCACCATATCAATCATACTCCACATAAGCCAAAATCATTCAAACCAAGATTATCATACAGACAAGGCCGTCCGCATCCACCCCTTCATGTCCGCGTCATCCAAGTCGTTGAAGAAAGAAAAAAAAAAAGTTGAAAGAAGGAAAAAGTTGACCGTGGCCAACAAAGAATGGACGGAAAGTCGAGTCGGAGATCGAGGGGGTATATCACATCAAACGCCAAAGGGGTAGGGGAGTGTAGAGGGGGCAGTGGGAAGAGAGCAACAGAAACATAAGAAAGGTAAGGGGGTAATATAGCAACAGAGAGAATGGGACGTAAAAAGTGGGGGTTCCGGTAAATCGGAGATCAGGTAAATCGGAGAGGGGGAGAGGGGAGGATGGCAACAGTAGACAGCAACTGAATGAGATGGGCTCGGTTTCCTGTGCCGGAAATATAGCAAGAATCTTCAGCAAGAGAGATTTTTACTTTGATTCAGTCTTGGTTACCGAGTCAAGGAGGAGAGGCGAGCTTCCAACCTCGATGTCACCAAGTGGATTTGATTGTGGACGCTGAGCTCCCTCCAGTTCGTTCTCTGGGGCCTCGTTCCCCGTTTCGGTATTAGAATTGCCGTCCGATGAGGGCGATTTGGCCAGGTTCAAACCCTCAATTCGAAGCCCTTTGTCCTCTTCATCTTCCTCGAGCAATTGACCCGGCTGCTCTGAGCTGGTGGGAGGGTTCATCAGCGCTGGTGGGCGTGCCTGCATCAGGCGAGCTTGTTTGAGACTGATGGTCTTTTGCTTGTTGCTAGTTTCCACCTTTCCAGACAAGTCACGCTCGATAGTCGCTTTCATGAGAGCGGCCATCCATAGACGGCCTTCCTGGACACTGTCGACCTGGAAAAAGTGGGTGGTTGGCCGGGTGAATTGCACAGTACGCGAATTGTTCGACTTCGGGGGTACCAGTTTGAAGAAGAATGGTCCACCGTTGTCCTTGCCCGTAAGCGAAGCAATGACAGCGGGACTGGTAACCTTCATGCCTCCTGCATTTTCGGTAGCAGTGGCGTTGGCGGGTAATGCTGTAGCGCCGGTGACTGTCGCGTGTAGGGCAACGATGGGGTCATTGTCGGCCCGCAGCACACGGTGAGCGGTGATGTCGATCAAGCCTCTCTCTTCCGTGTCGTCTTCAGAATAGTAATAGGAAAGACGGCGCCCGCGCAGGACAAACAGCCGGGGCTTCCATGTGGTCATCAGATTGGACGACCGTTTCTTCATCCAGCCACTGTAGTCACAGCCGTCCATCTGCTCTCGGGGGGACTTCTTCTCCAAGCCACGAGTGTAGGCACTGGTGTCCTTTTTCGACTTGACAGTCCTTGGTCGAACGACAAGCCCGGGACCGTCGGCGGTCTTGCCAGACCCATCAGTACTATGGCGTTCCGAGCTTTTGGACGTGGCAGACGGGGTTGTTGAACCAGTGCGACCAGTTATAGGGTCGTAGTCGCGAGGCGAAACGGGAGCGGAGTTGTCGCTACCACCTTTGCCAACGACGTCGGAGATGGTGCGGAGGCCGACCGCTCGTCGAATCTTGGGTCCAGCACCGCCCATCTTTGGCAACTGGAAGGGCATCGTCGAGGAGCGAACATTACTCTCTGCTTTACCCTCTGCCTTGCCATCCTTCACCTCGCTCTTGTTCTCACCCCTGGACTCGTTCTTGCTCCTTATCAGGGGCCCGAAGCTTGAGAAGAATCCAGTCTTGCCATCAGTATTAGAAGATTGCGAGTTTGACGCTCGCGTGCTCATGCTCCTGAATCGACTCTTAGGTGGCGTTTTGTGATAGGCCTGGGCAGCAGGCGAGACGTGCGCCGCTGCGTCGCGCATGGAATCGACACTACCAATGCGAGATTGGCGCTGACCGGCACTTCTGACTCGATAAGGTTCTTCTGCGTAGCTCGACTTTCGAGAATGGCTAATGCTACCACCGGTCGATGTGCGCTTTTGCAAAAGGCGTCGAGATCGGCGGGATTCCACTTCGGTTCCAGAAAAGTATCCTCGTTCGAGATCCTCGTACTGCTCCGGCGTATTGGGTTCCGATCCGGTGACTTGTGGTCCACGATAAGCTGTAGTAGTACCAATCGACGTTCCTGGCCGGGCTGGCAACGGTTGGTAGCCATTGTTGAGCGTCCAGCCCCGGTCGAAAGAGGGCTTTTTCTGATGGCTGCCATTCATACCAAATTCAGGAAGACCACGATTGGTGGCGTCGATGGAAGAGTGGCGTCGATTATAGTCACGGATCGAAGCTGCGGAGACTCTTCTTGGAGAATCATTCCCGAATTGAGGCGTCATAGGGGTCATAGGGGAGCTGCCGTTGCTGGCCAGCCTTGGGTGCTGTCCGGGAACGTGCTGCTGTCCAGGCACGGTAGAGATACGAGGCACGTACGTCGAACCAGTCCTTTCAGAAACCGTTGGGATTCGCGGGAGGAATGGACCAGTATGGCCTGCCCGTGACAGTGACCGCTCCTCGGGGACCGAAGGACCCGCGAAGCTAGAAATTGAGCCCCTCGTAGGTTGTACCTGCGGCATGATGCCCTTCACTTCCTCTTGGAATGCCTTGATCTTGTGCCAAGTCTTGAGTCGCTTACCCATGACGCCAAGGTCAAAGTGTTTCATAAAAATGGTATCCTGATCCATCTCCAGAAGAACGTCGCCGGTGATTTCCTCCCTTTCGAAAATATCGCAATGGCTGGGATCTACTCCGAGTTCACGCAGATGCTTGGCCGTCTCGGAGGGATTCCATCGGCGGACCTCCTCTACTGACGGGTGCGTATTCTCTTCCTCGTCCGTCTCGTTTCCGTTGATGTAGGAGATACGATGGCTCAAATGACTGCTGTATTCACTTCCCGAGTCGTTGATGGTCTTTGCCTCTTGCGTTGACATACTATGACGAGGAGTGTTCATGTCCGTAATGTGCTCATCGATGACACTCAACGTCTCATTCATCACCGGGCTGTCCTCGCCTTTCGCATGGCTATCAAAGGACCTACGGAACGCATCTTGGATGTTCGCGGCCAGGCTGGGGCGTGGAAGTGGAGACGATGCGGAGCGTTGTTGCTGGGGAGAACCCAGCACCTCCGAGGTGCTGGCATGTCGCGACGCCTGCGGAGTTGTTTGCTCGCTTCCAATAGGATTGAAAGATGTCTCGACAGGAGTAGATGGTTCCATTTGCGCGGGGGATTCGGTGTTTTCGGATGCAATTACCCCTTGGGGTGCGGGGTCGGTCTGGATGTGCTCTAGCGAGCTGGGGAGTCTATAGCTGGTAGGGACCTCGTGGGCTTGCGCCTTTCTGGTAAAACCTACATGAGGAAGTTAGTGGTGGCTTGCTTTTTCCTCCCCAGTTCGTTGCTGTTCTAGAAGCCCCCGTGTTGGCATTGGACATACCTGCTGGAAAGAGGCCCTTTTGGCCAGTTCCAGGGTGTTCACCCAGCCACCAACCATCCTGAAATTCTTCATCCATTTCCTCCAGCAGAATCACATCGCCGCGCTTCATTCGCAACTCATCATCTCCGCGCGGGGTGTGTTCATCTGTGATCCGTTAGGCGCATTGGTCTGGGAGAGGCGATCGGGGGCGGAGGGGTGCGCAAAAAGCAAGGCGCGCGAATCGTTAGTCGCACGCTGCGTAGTGACTTACGAAGAACCCAGAGATAATTGCCGCGCTGGACATTTAAAGGCGGCGCCGGGGTCGCCTGCGCATTGGCGGCCATTTTGTCGAGGAGTGATCGCAAGAACTCGTTTCCGTCCGATGTTCGCGGATGGGAGCCGAGGCCGCAAAGCGAATGATTCGGGATGGAGAAGTTAAGCGCAGGACATGGGGGGCCCGGCCGTAGCCCTTTCGAGGGGAAAACAAATATAGAATATAAACAAGCAATAATCAACGGGGGTCGGTCGGGGAATCTTGCGGTGGTTGAGATATGTGAACTCGGGCAAAAGGGGAAGGAATGTAGCAGGGCAGGAATCTAGCGCGTGAAAAGGCGAGAGAGAGCACGGTCAGGGCTTTCGGTCATTAGCTCGCGGGGTTCGGGAGGAGAGACTAACCTCAAATGTGGACCGGAAGCTTCGCTCTCGAAGCGCCGTGCGCAGGGTTCGGGTGCAAGCACGGATGAAACAGCCGTTGAGCGGGTTGACTGAGGGCGGGGATCTCCAGATCGTGACAGGTTCGATCTACCAATCCAGTGGGACGGACGGATGGATCCTGGCGCAGATTCTTGAAATCTGAAGAATGACACGGAGTGTAAGATGGAGAAAGTCGTCAAAAGCCGCGTTGTGTGGTGGTTCCACCACAACCCACCAGAGGTGATATCGTGGGCAAGCGAGGGGAGAAAAAAAAGAGACGTGTGCTAACGTGTGCAAGCGAAGCGGCCACGAAAGAAAAAAAAAAAAAGGAACCCAACGGATCAGAACAGCCACAAATGGTTATTTCGACCGGACGATTCGAACAACCCAAACGGGGCCCGAGTGACGTGTGCGGCCGTCAAGAGTTTCCGAGGGTTCTGGATGCCGGTCAATCCACACCTTCCACGGCTGACGGGACCCGCAGTTGGAAAGGTACTCTATTGTCGAGTGCGAGTACCGTAGGGTGTTCAGCGCGGCCAGGGATCGGACTGTCGGACTGTAGTAGTACTGTAGTAGTACTGTAATAGTACTTACTGTAATAGTACTGTAGTCGTAGACCTGCTAGGCCGGCGACCAAGGTTGGATTGTAAAGACGAGCGGCTAAGTGGGTTGCACGGCAGTTGGCTGAGGGGGGGGCAAGAAGAGCCGACTCTAAGACTGGGTGAACAAGGAGATAAGAAGATGTAGGAGAAGAAGATTAGTGACGATGTATAGTCAATAATTTAATAGCGTATGGCTAGTAGCTACGACTAGCGAATATGGACTGGTCAATAGAGCTTGGAATGGTGGATAGGTCGACCGTTCTCCGTACAGTTACAGTCGATGGATGCATCCAGAGGAATGCGGTCATGCTTGCAGCCCAACACTCCTCCTATACAGTTCATAATCAGGATGTAGTAATCCTAGAAGGTAAGTTATCTGGGTACTATTATTAGGTAGTAGGTAGGACTGGACATTTTCTGTTTACTCCGTTCAATCCGAGTTCCTCGTAGGACGTAGGGAAGCGCGGATGATCCACGTCGATAGATCGACGACTCCGGAGACCCGACTATGATTGATCGTATTTATCATGACGATTTCAATTTATCATACTCATTGTCTGCATCATTATCCATATATGTACGGATGATATCTACATTTTAGCTCCAATAGTCTCATTGGTCAGTTAATCTAAATCGAATTCAATAGTTTCGGTAGTTACGGGAAATCGCACTTAATTAAGGGTATAAAGATAGGCGTAGATTGTATGGGGGAAAAGGAGATTCTGCCGGCTCTTAAATTGAGGACAAAAGGGTTATGGTCTTCTCCCCCCCCCCCCGTTGTCCGCGGTATATATGACGAGAGACGTACTGGAATTGAGGGTTGTAGGTATCGCACAGCTTCAGTTCCCACCGGAATATCTCAGACTCGGATCCCGCCAAGTAAAGTCAAACTTATAGTTCGAAGTAGTTCTGCGAGCTGGACCTGCGCGGGCGATCCAAGCACCTCGCTGCATCCGAGTCTAGGCATGGTACTGAAAGTACTGAGAAATAGATATCTATCACGATATGCCGGGGCCCTATGTTCCCTGGCGCTCCCCGTCATCTTCATCTACATTAGGTAACGAGTGGGTATTTCAAGAGCGGTATAGTAGGTTGCCAGCTACATATAATCTATATTAGTCCTCCATAGTAAAATTATGTCACCCTGGAGCTTTAGTCTTGTAGTCTATGAATCCGTATAATCAAGTCATCTCATAGATCTTGACGAATGTTGTGATTTCCTGATGCCCAATGGGCTCGCAGGTTCGTCGGGGGTCTGATGTTAGCCTAGTGCCCCCCTATCAACTCCGAAAAATAGCTAGATCAGGCAAAATGGTGCAAAAGCAGTACGGGTTGGACCTCTCGATAGTGCTAAGCAGTACCATTTAGTGTGGGGAAACAAGGCCTTTTGCCGTCGAGATAGTTAGCCAACCGGTGGTGGTATGTCATGATTGGGCCTTTGGTTTGGTTCTTTGTTCATTCGTCCAGAACCACTGCAGAAGAAACACTCTTCGCATTTGAGAATCAGGAAAAACCTGTCAACCCTAGGCCCTGGGGATCACCTTTCACTCTCCATGGTCTCTCCCAAGCTCCAGCGATCGCGTCGTCCTGCCGATCACCTTGACGAGTCCAACTCCACCGCGAGCTTGTTTCTGGGCGGAGTGCGGAGGGATTGGATGGCTTCGGCGGGGGCCTACCCACGCGAGGCGAGACCGGCCGCTATGTCTCATCCGAGATCTCTGAAATCTCCATCCGCAGCTGCTCCGTCCAAGGATTCCCGAGGGATCGGCCACTCCGGACCTGCAGAGCTAGCCTTGATGTCCCCCGTGACACCAGGTGCAAATCTACAACGGTCCGCCTCGTCTCTGCAGGCCCATCTACCGGCTACGAGCAAACCCGACCCGCCGCAGGACCCTCTTCCCTCGCCCGTCCCAAGCTCTGGCTCTCATCCGAGCCCGATTCTCTCTCCCCCTCCCAGCATTCCTTCGAATGATCTTTCCGTCGCCGCCCTGGCGGTTCCAGCAGCGCCCGACAAGCCGGCGGCGGTGGCAGCGGTCAACGTCCAGCCGCGACGCGACAAGAACGCGAGTCCCAGCCAACCAGCCTTGAATCAACCGTCCCCTCCTTCAGTACAAAACCCAACCCCGAGACCGAGCGTGTCAGAGACATCAGAGCTATCTGAGATTGCACCAGCGAGCGCGGCTGTACCGCACACTGCCGATCCTGGCTCACGTCCGCTCCATGAGATCAACAATGGCATCCAACCTCAGTCCCTAGGGAATTCAGTGGGCTCGAACCAGAGCCCGTCGGTGGGAATTAATGCACGTGTCAACACGTCGGGAAGTCATGCAGTAGGGTCGCCGTTCCAGCCAGCCACCCCAACACCTCCTCTTGCATCTCGAAAATTGGACCGGCCATCCTCAAACGATTGGATCCTGTGGAGAGCACGTGCGAACGCTCTGCTGAATCAGGCGAGAGAATGCTCGTTGAACGTTGGTGGACCTAGAGCTCTGCTCCTCATCCGCGCCTGTGGTGACTATGATAATGATCTTTTCTACCTGGTGCTCCATCAGGTCTTTTGCGAGATGTCCAGGGATGCTCAGGGGATCATCGCAAGAATTCCGGTCCTTCGCGACGAACGGTGTCGACTTGGTATAACCAAACTTGCGGAATTACTGGAGGACAATGCAATGATACCCCTGCCCTTGCTGGAGGCATTTTGCCTCTTTCCACTACCCCTGGAACAATTGATCAACGCTCCATGGTATCAAGAGATTCTCGATCAGGTGGTAGGCTGCCTCTCGTGCCTTGTGACCCAGCTTTCAGTCTTGAAAGCCGAGACTCATCGCAGAATATATGAACGTGGCTATCCACCACTGGTAAAGGAGCTGAGACAGGAGTATGGTGTGACTTCACCGGTGCTATTGGGTGTTATCTTCATGTCTATATGTCGGCATGTTTACGACCCGAACAAAATCGATCTTCTGCAGCGCCACTTCCAAAAGGACTCGTTCCTCGTTTCGAAGAACGCAGGTCCGGATGCCCATTTGGCCCTGATTGAAGAGTACCGAAAGATTCCAATGAGAGGGAGGCAACCCCCAAGACCTCCGATGCCAGCCCATCAGAGTCAGCGCCCACTCCAGCGTCGAGCCACAGCGACTGCTGGATATTCTCATCCGTCCCCCGTCATCGGCTCGCCCGCCGCCGTAAGTCCCGCATCGCAAGCGAATGCACAGAATCATCTCGCTCCTGCTTCGCCGCATATTCAGTCCCCAATCTCGCCCAATATCTCCCAGAATTTGCAGCATGCGCAGTATATTGATCAGCACGGTCGTCGTATTTCAGCTCAGCAAGTGAGGCAAATATCTCGTATGGCACACCCACATTTGGCACAGGGTCAGGCCCAAAGCCCCCCGACGCAGCCAGTACTGCTACAGCCAGTTGACCACGCCCAATTGCAGGGAGCAAATTCTCAGAGGGGAGCAGTCTACATGGTCGTTGCGGATCAGGCACCCCAGGTCCTCGTACCGGCGTCCACTGTTACCTCTCAAGTCAACCTGTCGCCGTCGCCGTCTCAGCACTCTGTAGCTGGCTGGCCTAATTATGTAGTTCAGCAACAACAGCCCCAGTCTCTGCAACAGTTTCAATATCATCATCATCAGCAGCAGCAGCAGCAGCAGCAGTCTACACGGCATGTGTCTTCTGGTGATACGACCACACAACCCTCTGCTGCATACCAAGCTGTTCAGATGATGGTTACAAGTCGGACTAGTCATTCACAGGCACAGCAGCCTCCATCAGTACGGCCTGTCCCCGCTTCGTCACCGACGGTGCAGGGTCCTCAAAACCAGACTAGCCGACCTCGTGCACCTGCTATGTCGCCGCTGCTCCCGCCTGAAGGCTACAGAGCGCCACAGACAGTGCAACCGAACCCGATGCGACTAAGTCTGCACCAAGCTGACCTTCGTGACCCGGTCAAGTATTTAGTACAGCTGACGCCGAATGGCTTGGAAGAAACTGCTCTGTACCAGTACCTTGATCAATTCACGCTCGACCCAACGCGGATTGACCCAGACGTCTTCAGTTATCGCTGGAAATTTACGATATCACCCGATGACTACCAGCGCTTTCCCCGCTATGTCGACAGAGGACAAGGTCAACGATCTATTCGGACGTACCAACCAGGTTGTCGGACTTACCGTCTGCGTATCATTGCCCTGCCTGACTCAGAGAAGAAAGAGATGCAAAGATTTTGGCCAATTGCAAACACCACTTGGCCTAGTGTGCTCTACATCTTTGTTAACAACCATGAACTCTACGTGCGGCGGAAAGTACACAACGGAAAGGACCTACCTTTGGATATAACCAGACACCTCCGCGAAGGCGAAAACGAGGTCAACGTTCATTTCCTTCTAGCCCCTAACGAGTGTAAGAATTTCCACTACGTGGCGGGCATCGAATCTATGAAAGTCTCAGAGTACAAGGGAGTTCTCGAAAGGACACGTCATGTCCCGGCTAGCGAGACCCGTGCCAACATCAAGAAACGACTGAGCCCAATCACCGATGACGACGAGCTGGCCGTCGTCACCGACAGCCTCAACGTCCCACTTATCGACCCATTCATGGCACAGATTTTCAACACTCCCGCTCGTTCGACCAACTGCAATCATATCGAATGTTTCGACCTGGACACCTTCATAACGACCCGGAGGTCCCAGTCAGGTTCCGCCCCAATGAACGACAACTGGCTTTGCCCCATCTGCAAGGCGGATGCTCGCCCACAGTTCTTAGTCGTGGATCAATACTTCGTTGAAGTCCGCGACGCGATCGCGAAGCAGGGCATCATAGATACCGCCCAGTCGATTCAAATCCGAGTCGACGGGACGTGGACAGTCAAAGTCACCAGCGACGATGCGTCTCCCTCCAGCCCGGCTCGAAGGCGACCTTCCCAGCCTCCTTCCTCTGGCAAGCGCAAGGCGGACAGTATGACTGGTGCAGCGGAGCAAACTGCTCGTACCAAACATGAGAGCACTCCCAGTACCCCAGCCCAGGATCCCACGGTCATCGAAATCGACTAGTTGATGCTCGCACATCGTTGGCCTTATCGCACCCACTTCCCCTTGACGGGAGAAGTTGGGCATCTGTCAACAGTGCTCAGCTCCATATTTGCTTTTCCCTCCGTGTATTTTCTAGAATGTTTTTCTGGCTACCCTTGCGTGCATCACACAAAGTTATACCCCCTTCGTTCCCATTTCTGAAATGCAGATTGTCATGACTGGTATGAATTCTGCTGGCGTCGATTTGATTTCGTGTGTTATTTTCCTTACTTCGAATCTCGAGACTATTGATCTTCTGTTTCCTTATCTCTGCGAGGGAACATTGTGTGTGAATATAAACACTTGCTGGATTTCGAGATGAGAGTCAAACTTCTAAAAATACAGTTCTCCCATTTGATCAGCGTTTGATGAGTCAGTGGGCGAAACTCTTAGTTAACTAGCAACCGGACTCGTTTCACTCATCATATTCGGGCTACCGCCTGAGACCGAAAAAATTCAGATTGCTTCACCCATCGAAATCATTACGCATGTCCAGGCCCAGAAAGAGCAACGCTCAATATGAGAATTTCTATTCAGTCGTAGACTAGCCAAACGGGAATTCAACGTCCCAAACGCAGATGATGCTCATTCAGTGGAGGTTCTTTCCCACCTTCAACATTATGGTAGATTATACAGAGATATAGGTATATGGAACTATTTAAATCATGCCGCTCATCAGGGAAAAGGAGACACCGCAAAATCATGTTTCACTTCCTGACTCGCCGAACATGACTGACAAGGTTCTCAATGACCCCCTCGAACGCCTCCTTCTCACTGAACAGGCCATCCCGGCGCTTCAACCAGTACTCCAACAACGCACTGGCGCGCAAGGTGACCTGCTCCAATTCGGAGACGTGCTGCGTCAACTCTGCGTCCGTCAGACCGCTGAGCGCGGCGTCCGTGGTCGCGCACAGCCGGCGGACTGAAGAGAGGTCTAATTCGGGGGGCGGGGCTGCGCCGCGACGGGTGGTTTTTGAGCGAGTAGGGGCCTGCCCCGTCGCGGCTGTGTCGTCGCCCTCTTTGCGGGCTTGGTTGTGGGATGGGGTGGTGGTTCCTGAGTTGTCGAGTTCGATGGAGGGGAGAATGAGCTTCTTCTGTTTGGAAGCTGGTAGGATCTCGTCTAGGTCGACGGGGACACCCAAGGAGACGAGGAAGAGTCGGCGAATGCGGGATTTGACCCAGTTTTGTGGTTGGAGGGGTGGCGGTGCTACGAGCTGTGACCATAGGGAGAGACTGCGCTCTGTGCTGAAGATCGCCGAAGAGTCGGGGATGGGTTCGACGGGTTGGGCGGAGCTGAGATCTTGGGCGGCGGGGAGAAGGCTGTCGAGAGTGCCTTGGAGGGCTGTGAGAAGTTCGGAGGTGGATTGGAAGTTGTCAAAGTCGATGAGAGGGGGCTGATGGAGGTGTACAGTTAGTGATCAGTCTGGAGTCTGGAATCAGAATGAGTTCAGCGACTTACGACTGATATAGGGACTTGAGGTTGTTGAGGGATGGTGGTGCCAGTGGTGTCCTCAACAACCTCGGGTTCCTGGAAGCCATCGTCAAAGTCACCAAAGTCATCATCACCCATGCCACCCTGCTCCTCCACGAATTCGTCAAAGTCGTCTCCAAAATCATCGTCATCATTTGCCTCTTCAGGAACTTGGTCTTCGTCTGCGTCATCCGGTGGAGGGCTATCGGTTACGGTTTCCACTGTATCGGGCATTGCATCGCTCGGCGATCTTTGATGAGCACGTGGTCGTGATAGCAGCTCATCTTCAGGGGGTATACTGTCCACTCGAGAAAGTCGCGTCTCGGGAATGGATTGACTGGAGGCATTGGACGCTATGGAGCCTGGAGATTCCCGATCCACCGCGGGTGGTGGGAGAACGCTGTCCAGGTCGGCGGATGTCTTAGTCACGACGTCGGGCACGGCATCTGCCTGGCGCTTCTCATATGCGTCCGTACCAGGAACCTCGCCATAGCTAGGCGATTCTGGATCTACTTTCTCAACCACCGTCCGTGGGATTGGCGAGCCACCTGGGGTCAAGGGTCGGTCCTGCGACCCGGCCGGGGAAGGATCCCTGCTGTGTGAACCCTCTGGGACCACTTCGATTTCATCGGGAACTGCATCTTGTCCCCGTTTCTCATATGCTTCTGTGCCGGGTACTTCGCCGTGTTGGGTGCTGTCGTCGACTCGCTCTACTCGAGTTCGTGGGACAGGGGAATCGCGACCAGTCTGTAGGCTTTTTGTTTGTAGATTCGAGTGGCCTTCGCTGGCATCTGAGAAGTGTTCCTCGTCGCTCTCTGAAGCTGCTATAATTCGAGAATCCGTTGGCTTCCTCCCAAATAAAGTGGTGCAGGGGCAATTTTGGCGAAAACAACATACTATTGTCACTAGCTCCAGGGTCCTCCTTCTCAATGGTCTTGCTTGGTGGTTCAAGGTGGGTGGAGGAATCGGGTAGCGCATCCGACATGATTGCAGGGTGGGAATTAAGGTTGGAACATGAGATGAAGGTAAAAACGAAGTGGGAAATGGGATAATAGCATGCAAGAAGCAAGTAGTGTGTGTAGCGCGAGAGTGACGACGTTGGTACCCTGCGATCGACTCGAGTCCAGAACACCCAGGCCTCAGGCATAAATGAACGCTGTTTTGATGCCTAGGAGGTAAGGCAGCAATAAGCGCGTAACTCACCTGCTTCAAACTCCTGCCGATTTATTATTGCCCTACATCCGTCCTGCTCGAAACCTACCCTCACCACTCCCTCGTTGCGTTCCAATCCATTTCCTCCAAGCAAGAGAATCGCATCGCACTTCTTGGACCAGTGACCCATTTTGCAGGACCCTCCTGCCCCCCCTGCGCTGGTCGACGGTCCATTTCCTCCGTTCCTTTTTCACCCAAGCCCAAGCTTGCAGGTTCGCTCTGATCGCCGCAACACATCACAATGTCGTTCAACTTCGGCGGTGGAGGTGCCACTGGAGCTTCCAACACAAATCTTTTCGGTACCGCTGGCAACACCTTTGGTTCCAACAATCAGACGAGCTCGAACACTGGATCAGGTGCCGCTGGTGGTGGTCTTTTCGGAAATGTAGGAGCCTCTGCCACCAGTGGGAGCGCTTCCCCTTCGATGTTTGGTACAGCTACTTCCGGTGCACAGAGCCCCTCAATGTTTGGAAGCGCTGGCGGCGCTACTGCTGGGACTCCTGGAGCATCTTCGGGCTTCTCTTTCGGCTCCAAACAGACGACAGGCTCGACCACTCCCGGACAGACAGCTACCAGTGGGCTCTTCGGCGGCGCCGGAGCTGCAAAGTCCTCAGGTAGCTTATTCGGTGGTGCATCCTCAGCTACCCCAGCTCCAGCTGGCGCATCCTTGTTCGGAAACACCTCAACTACTCCCGCTGGTCCTCCGCCAGGATCCAAGACAACTCCATTGTTTGGAGGACTGAATGCCGGCTCTTCTACTACACCATCGTCCACCACCGCTGTCTCCTCTACTACACCCGCTACCTCGCAATCACAGTCATCCGGCAGCTTCTTCGGCGCCGGTACCACTCCCGCCGCCTCAAAGCCTCTGGGCTTTGCCCCGGCTCCGTCTAGTGGTGGTAGTCTGTTTGGCAATGTCGGTAAGCCAGCCGAGTCCAGCGCTCCCAGTGCCACTGGCGCGCCCGCTTCGAAGCCACTTTTTGGAGCCGCAGCACCCACTCCTAGCGGCGACACAACCCCCAAGCCTACTTTCTCTCTAGGTGGAACACCCGCTGCTACCGGTGAGGCCCCCAAGTCTGCGTTCTCCCTCGGCGCAGCTCCCGCTGCTAGCGGCGATGCAGCTCCCAAGTCTGCATTCACTCTCGGTGGAACTCCAACTGCAGCCCCGTCTACTACGGCCTCATCCACTGCTACTCCACAAAAGTCGCTCTTCCCCAGTCTGGGAGGAGCCACTTCCTCAGCCGCCCCATCGTCCACAGCAGCCGCACCTGCTGGAGGCTCACTGTTCCCTACTTTAGGCGGTGCTAAATCTACAGCTGCTGCTGCTACGCCCGGAATTACGGCCTCTGCCGCCGCCACTACTACGCCTGCGGCTGCACCCAGCCTATTCCCTAAGCTCGGAGGTGATAAGCCTTCCACTCAACCCGCCACTACCACTGCCTCGACGGCCACACCGGCCTTGGGTGCAACTGCTACTACTACAACAGCCGGTACTGGCGCGGCTACTCTTGGCCAGTCGACCACTGGTCCTGCTCCCCCAGCGCAGTCTCGTCTGAAAAACAAGACCATGGATGAGATCATCACTCGGTGGGCAACGGACCTGACCAAGTACCAGAAGGACTTCCGTGAACAAGCCGAGAAGGTGGCTGAGTGGGACCGTATGCTGGTGGAGAATGGTACCAAGGTTCAGAAGCTTTATGGAAATACTGTCGACGCTGAGCGAGCTACCCAGGAGGTTGAGCGTCAATTGGCATCCGTGGAGGGCCAGCAAGAAGAGCTGAGCTCATGGCTTGATCGATACGAACGCGAAGTCGATGAGATGGTTTCCAAGCAGGTGACCCCTGGCGAGCAGGGTCCTGACCAAGAGCGCGAGAAAACGTGAGTACTAATTTTCTGTGGGGTTCTTCTCTTGAATGGACGAGCTAACCATATCTACACGCAGATACAAACTGGCCGAGAAGCTCTCTGAGCGTTTGGATGAGATGGGCAAGGATCTCACCAGCATGATCGAGGAAGTCAATGGGGCCTCTGCAACTATCAGTAAGACAAACCGGGCCGACGAACCAGTAAGTTTTCCTCTTTTATATCACTGCCTCATGCCTCATGCTCACGATTGCGACAGATCTCTCAAATCGTCCGTATCCTCAACTCGCATCTTTCCCAGCTGCAAGTCATCGACCAGGGAACCTCAGAGCTGCAAGCCAAGGTTGCAGCTGCCCAGAAGGCAGGACAGTCAATCTCCTCGCGCCTTGGTTACGGCTATTCCAGCCCTGGTATGGGCAATGGCAATGCCGCCGATGATTTCTACCGTTCCTACATGGGCAGACGGTAGAGGGATGATTTCATGGGTGACTTAATGATTCTTCGATTACGGGGTGTCGATTGACAGATCTTTCGATAGGAAAGGAATGTTATCGAGGTAAATTTCTCTGATCATGTACTTTGCCTTGGACTGTCCAAGGCCTAACTAGTATCCTGGGGGATGTTCTGTGTTTGTTCTATATCTCTGGATCGGGTATGGTCCTTTGGTTTCTAGTCAAGGAAGTTGAGGGGCGTAATTCAAAACATTTGGGATGCTCTATGGTCAGTGCCGGTCTTTCTTCCTGAATTGTGATTTCTTGTTCAAGGTGATCCTGGTCTCAATACCATAGTACAAATCAATGTCGTCAGTGGATGGACTGAAAAAAACCCGGAGTTTTTATGAATCAATGTCATCAGTCAAGGACAGGGACTAAATCAATGTCGCTAGTGCATGTACTGAAAAAATCGCGGAGTTTTTATGAAGCAATATCGTTCAAAGACCTCCTAAAAGACCCTAAAAGACCTCCTAAAAGACCTCCTAAAAGACCTCCTAAAAGACCTTCGAAAAGAGATGCGGAGGAAAAACAGTAGAAAACCTCATGTTGATGCATCAAACAGCGTCAGAACTGACACGAAAGACCACTTGGTAAACATATATATTTGATGAAGTTCCTGGGTTGAGATGTGACAGTCTGAAAGGTCTTCGAGCATCCAACCTCAACAAAAATGTACCATGATTACTGTACAATGGCATGACCGTCTAATCTACGGAGCTGATTAAATTGCATGGCGGATGGCCAAAAAACTCATGATTGGGTATACCACCATGCGCAGAATACCATGAACTGTCTACGGTCAGGATTGTTTAGATTCCATGCTTTTTGAACCAAGATAGTGCCATATGGCTATATCGTTACCAAAGTACTACTGTTCTATTCTCAAATGTAAGGTAAGGTGTATCAGGGTTTGATAGTCCCGGTGTTAAACCCTCGTCCCCATGTTCTCCGTATCCCCGATAGACCTACTGTAGAAATACTTGTTTCAGGAGACAAGGGCATGTCATTTTATGACACAGTTTCATAGACTTCTGGATCTCATTTGCCGTGGTTCCCAATCTCCCCATTGGCAAGGTATTGGAGCATTCTTGGGGCCGGCAGCAGTCACATGCTAGTCACTGGAAGTAGAGGGCATACCCATGTCCCGTTTAGGAAGGCTCGATAGTCGCTGCTTCCATCAACGACTAGCAAACACCCCGTTTGGGAATCAGGAAGTTAGGGCTGATCACCCCAAACTCCAGCGAATATAAATATCCCTTCCTCACCCAGGGTCTGCCAAGATTTCTTCCTTTGTAAATTCCCCAATCCCCCTCCTCCTCCAGGTCTTGACCCCCATACTTCCACACTTGGTTCACCAGGCACCCAACCTTGTTTGGACTTCCACTTGACATGTATCCTCCATCAAGGCCTCTTCTTCTTCAAGGCTTACACTCAACGATATGACCCTTGTCTCTATTTCCATGAACCAAGGCCTGCCATCTATCTGGCCCTTTTTCTCAGCAACGAGGTGTCTCAAGATGTTGACCCAACCTTCCTGGATGCCACCCTTTCATTTTTTTTTCATGGACTGCTTCACCACACACTGGCACTTTTGTGACATGGCAACAACTTCACATGCAACACCTTCACAACATGGCAACACCTTCACAACATCCCAAAACCTTCACAACATGGCAACACCTTCACAACATGGCAACACCTTCACAACATGCCAATACCTTCACATCATGCCAATGCCTTCACATCATGCCAACACCTTGATAACAGTCCATGGCCTCATACTCTTTTGGCCCACCATTTTCTGATGGCTTAAAGAGTCAAAAAAGCAGGTAAGGACCTGATTCAGACCATCTTCTTTTGTTTTATCAGGCTGCTAACAATCTTTAATCTAGGAGCTACACTGACGTTCTTGAGTGAACCTCGATGGCCATGAACTTGGTGTCGAGCCTGTGTAGGGCGTGGTTGACACTGAGTCTCCACTGCCATACATCTCAGCCTCCTCACTCAGACTCTGGGAGATACTAACCTCGCAGATCAAATGAAATTCCCAACTCATCCATCAATAACACCTCACCCTTCTTTACCTCCTGGACCAGAGTCTCATTGCCGATTTGCTTCATTTAAACCTGGTGATTTTCCGGAACATGGCTCGCCATTAGCCATTACAGACAAGAAAAGTCACAAATTTCACCCTCTCGATCTTACAGTTCAAAGAAAATAGTACAACTTCATCTACTCTATCGATCCAGTACACAGCATTATTGATGAATACCAAGTTCTCAGATCTGCCACTCCATTTCCCGCGTTTAGTAGTTTGATCCTTGTACGAGTATTAGTCCGCACTGATTGGTCTTTGACACCACTCAACTATATTTTCCAAGCTGCGAGTGCATCCGACCGTCCTAGTCCAAGTGTTGTCTTTGTAGGCGCTTTGTCTTTTGAGCAAAAATCCCTTGCAGTCTGCATCACGCGACGACCATGTGGCGCACACTGGTCAACTCACGGCGACTCGTGACGCCCATTGAAGCTATGTTCAATAAGCCCTCGTCCTCTCTGGGGCCCACGAGGTCCGTTTCCAGACCAATGGAGCCCACCAAGGAAATATGAGGTCCAATCTTACATTTCCACTGGGCTGGGGGTGGGCCGCCCCAGGGTGACTAAGCCCGCGGTAGATGTCCAGGGCGCAACCGTCAACCCCATCTTCCCCGCATCGAAACTGCCCTGTGGCTGTTCTGTCGCTCTTTACGGTGTTCTTGCTGCGGTGTTCGCATATTTTTATAGAGGCGGGGTGCGCTGAGTTGTGTGGCAGGCCAATTCTTCCTTCCGACAGACAAGATGGTCCCCTCGTCCGCGTTGCACGTCCGAGTCGGGCCATCGTGGTCTTCGCTCTATATCGTTGTGTCACTATTCCTTCTCTCTTTTGTGACTGTGGCCAATGCGCTGGCGTATGAGGCACAGAAACCTCTCGCCGAGACAGAGAATCCACCCGAAGGTTTTTCTTCCACGCTTGACCACTTGTCCACTGAGACCGACCTCGGAGATAGCGATGTGACGGTACCGTTGAGCTTGGCACGTCCTGCTGAGACGTTGCAGGATCTCCTCGATGCGTTGAATGTCATGCAAGATGAGTACTTTGTGTTATGGCTAGGCACGTGGCCATCTAGCATCGATTGGACCGCTGCCGTTCTGGGAACGCATGTCGCCGCGACATTGTCGTCTTTCTCGTCCAGCGGGCTCGACATGATTGAAGACGACAAATCGCACGAGTCTTCCTTTTCTGCATTTGAAAATACCGTCAATTACTTCTTCAGTCACACCAGTACATTCTATTTTGGAGAGAATGCTTTCAGTTTGCGGAATCAGGCCTACGACGACATGCTTTGGGTCGTGCTGGACTGGCTGGAAAATATCAAATTCCAGGACCTGCACTCGAACCTTTACTATTCCGGTCACAATTCTTCTTCAGCAAATTTCCCGTCGCAGGGCTGGTATGGCACGCAATTCCGTGATGCGGCAGCACACCGTGCGCGGATCTTTTACGAGCTTGCCTCGGCTGGGTGGGACAAGACCCTATGTAACGGTGGGATGATTTGGAATCCCACGTTAATCCCGTACAAGAACGCCATTACAAATGAGCTGTATATCTCAGCCAGCATTGCGATGTATCTCTATTTCCCTGGTGATCCCATCGATGCGCCCTTCCTCGCCAACTCGCGAAGCAAAGGACCCTCGCACCGATACCCGCACAATCCGACTCATCTCAACGCTGCAATTGATGCTTATGCATGGCTCAAGAACTCCAATATGACCGGTATCTGGGGTCTCTACGCCGATGGCTTCCATATCAGCGGCTGGCGTAGCTCGGCAGAACCGGGATCCCGCAAATGCGACGTCCTTAACACGATGGTGTACACCTACAACCAAGGCGTTGTTCTCAGCGGGCTTAGAGGACTCTGGCTTGCCACTGGCGACCAGGACTATCTACGTGATGGCCACGAGCTGGTATACAAGGTGCTGCGCGCCACTGGATGGCCGCAGACATCGTCCACCAAATGGGCCGGTCTTGGACGCGGTGGTGTGTTGGAAGATACGTGTGACTCGCATGCAAGCTGCTCGCAGGACGGGCAGACCTTCAAGAGCATCTTCTTCCACCATCTGGCGGAGTTTTGTCGACCGCTTCGACAACAGGAGGTCGGGTTCTTGGAGAACGAGACTCGGCAGCCGGTGGCGGAACAGGGATGGGGTGAGGTATTTGACCGGCACCTACGGCGTTGTCGTGCCTATGGTCCCTGGATAGAGCATAACGCGCGAGCTGCGCTGATGACTCGGGACGATGACGGCAAGTTTGGGCAATGGTGGGGCCTACCATACCGACAGCTCATGGTCTCAAGTGATATTGTGAATAGCAGTACTCTCCCTGCCGGTGCGGTGGACTACCGCAACGACGGCTCCGACACGGATGCTGCGACTGACGGTGTCCCTCGAGACTTTAACGACCGGGGCCGCGGTCGTACCGTTGAGACGCAAGCTGGCGGCGTCGCTGTCCTGAGAGCCTTGCTACAGTGGCAGACGAGTGATGCCCTTTTATGATTCTGATAAACTTTTAGGTGGATTGGGGGTTTGGCGATTACATATTCTTCTCAACGCGAGTTTTGGGCGCATCTGGCGTTTCAGGATACATTCATTCATAGTGTTCATCATGCATATTCTTTCAATCATGATCCGATCCTTGATTGATTTCTTCGATGCACACTTGATTTACCCGGCAACAACCCGTAGCGCAATTCATACCGGTACTCGGTTGGAGTTCACAGAACTATGCATCTGTGCTGTGCATGAATGTCCAGGCATCCATGATCTAGTCTCACCACTATTCTCCACATACGATCCAATACACCCCAGTGAAATCGGGCCATAACCAAGTATAAAGCGCCAAACCTCATTCCAAGACACATCAACTCCCCACCCCCTGTCCACTCACAGTCGCCCTGTATTCGGGATATCTCTTTACCTCACTAAATCTTACCTGAATCGGCCCTAGTTGCAAATTACGATGTCCATCTAAATTTGAATCCCCCCTTTCCAATGGATCGACCGCAGCGGAACCAAGCTCCCACATTTCACGTATGCCCCCCCTCTCCCGAGCTCCTGCTCCACAGAAGCTATGGAATACCACCACCCGCTCTCCTTAGTATTTTCACTAGACCACAAACAAGAATTTAGATCTGAAAACAGGATTGTTTGATCGATGGATCTGCAGTTGTGCGACGGGGATTTTCGCGTGTTTGGGCATTCTAGGTGACGTCTTGAGCCTCTGGCTTACTGGAGGTCTGGTATGGTATGTATTTGAGGGATGGTGGTTGAGACGGAGTTTTTTTAATTTGTGATTTCGTTATTCATATCTACTGCTGTAAACCTGGTATGTAAAGA